GTAATAATTTTCTCTCTATGTTGAGTCATTTCCTGTCCTGGTACAGTTTCCCGCCTCCATCCACAGACCCTGCGTGGCTACTGAAACAGCTTGATGAGCATTAATATCAACAATCCTGAATTAGAAGCCTGAACAAACATATTTCATTAGTCTGAGGCACACTTAGTATTAAGCCCCCCTCCGATGTTTTAACCTTTTTAATGTGTCCATTTGATGTTTTTATTTTTTTTTAATAAGACATATATATGTGTATATGAGTGAAATAAGCAGTCAACACCATGGCTGCGAATTTCCACCTTGGAACTGCAGTGTATGTTATGAATATGTTAGAATTAAAAAAAATCAACCAGAAGTCAAAGAATGAATCAGCAAAGAGTGTTTTGGTTGCCATGGAGAAAGCACGAACAATTGCAAAAGCAGAAACTTAACCAAAATTAAACTCCAAAGTTGGAAATGCTCAAAATCTACACGTACAGGCTTTAAAGTGAGGGATTCTGGAGCAGATCTATTAAATGCTGAACTGAAGCATCAAAGTAAGCCTTTGTGCAAAATCTCAGATAACGTTCAATCCCACTGTTTTAAAAGTAACTTCTTTCTACAATATCTGTGCACGGCAATTATAGATAAGATTATGGTTGAGGTTGAGAAAAGATTGTTGTTACAGGTAAAAAAAAAAAGAAAATTAAATGCAGGACTGTGACACAAGTCAAGCTCCAGTTTCCTGCATAAAAGTCCAGAACCTCCCCGCACCCCCCCACCCAGACCTCCTCCTGTCTGCCTTGCTTCATTAAGGACACACTGTGGGGGTGCAGAATAGGCTATTATAGGGATACTGAGCTGACAAGACTCATGGCGACCACAATAAAGCCAGTGAGGTGTTGTGCGTCAACACATTATGTAGCTGAAGGATGGTGGATGAACACTCAGGCTGGGTGAAGGCAGCTGGTGTGTCAGGGCGCACAAAGGGGTGATAGAGGTGATTAATCTAGAACTGGCCACTTAACTGGAAGGACTGAGTTATGGGATGGTTACTACAAGCCCATGCTAATGCCTAGAAGTTAAAATCAGTTCAGTGAAAACAAAGGTGCCTGCACGCTGCAACATGTGTGTGACTGAGTAGTGTGGTGAAGAGCAGGTTCAGAGGAGGAGCTGCCTCAGGAGGAGCAGGAAGGAGGAGGGGCTGGAGGAATCAGAGGTTATAAGAAGGATTGACTTCAGGTGAAAGCTCCTTTGTACCTGCAGCAGAACCCCAGGCTCTCCTCGTCACAGTTGTTTGACTGAGTGTGATGTGAGTTCTTTTGTTGTTTAGACCTTGCAGTATATGATTGTTAGTTATGTTCAAGTTATGTTGGTAGTTGCTTTTATATCATGACTCTCTCAGTTTGTATATTTTTAATGGAATTAATTCATGCTTTATATTTTCTGTTTACAGATAAATCCCACCGGGTCTTCACAGCACCTGGAAACCAGTACCACCACCACCATACCAGTAATATCAAGCCTTGTTAACAAGTAGGATACAGGCTGTTTGTGTCACAGAGAAGATGCAAAGAAGTGAAGCAGTTTCTCTCTTCAGCCTGCAAAGATGATGCACAGGGAAGTCCTTGAAGAAGAAGTTGTGTTTTCGACCTATTTCATGAGTCTGTGTGCGCAATCTGTTGCAAAAGAGGAGAATGCGTGCGAGATTGTATCAGGTGTGGTTTACCAGCTCGAGAGTAGGAAGAGGCTCATAATGAATGAAATATTCATTTTGGCTCACAGATCTATATAGCTGACATTTTGTAACATTAAGTGTAATAAAGGCTGAGTAATTTCTGTAAATTATACCCTTGGAAAATGTCAATAAAGCCAGTGTAATTCATTTTAAGTATAAAAAGGTCTCATCCATCATAAGTGACATTTTCAGCTCTGGCACTGAAGTGTCATCCCCTGCCATCTCACACCAACTCCCAGTCACCTATATGCAGGTTTCTGTTTCTTTCTACTTCACTTCTTGTTTGTTTTGACAGAACCATGCAAGGCTCTGCAAACAAGAAGTTTGAAATAACATAATTTTTTTTTTTTTACAAATTCAGACAGAAGTGATGACTGATGTTCTTATCTGGAGAATTTCCAGGGCTAAAAAACCCTCCAAAAAATCTATATGGATAATATGGAAGAAAAGCCAGAGGTTAGATTGTATGAATACTGTATGTATATGTGTTAATTTCACATCATAATCATCAACAAATTCTGTCATTTTTGTGGAGGAATGGTTTCATATCCTTCTGTTATCTCTCTCTCAAATTGAATCGAAGGCAACTGGACTTGTATTTGTCTGTGGAAGACGTTTCGCCTCTTATCCAAGCGGCTTCATCAGTATGAAGTACTGAAGTTACTGATGAAGCCGCTTGGATAAGAGGCGAAACGTCTTCCACAGACAAATACAAGTCCAGTTGCCTTCGATTCAATTTGAGAGAGAGATAACTATGACCTGGACGAATGAGAACATTCACAGACATATCCTTCTGTTGATTTGATCAGAGAGTTAAAATCATCCATTGCTCTCACATTGCTTCTGGCCCTTTGTTCATACTTATGACAAACTATAAATATGTCGTCCTTATTTTTAGCGAGACTAGCTACATGGATACAGATGTGTACAGATGTTCATGGTTCCCACAGGATAAATTCTACTGTATTTAGCGATCCCCTGACTTTTTGTGTTTCTTTGTGAAATTATCTCAACAAATTATACTGGATGGATTCCCAAGAAATTTAGTTCATGTGGGCCGCAAATATTTTGGGTGATAACGTCTTTATTTCTGGCTGAGATGCCAATGATCCTGCTTGGTTTTAATGAGTTGAATGAGCTGATGGTTAAAACGAATACAAAGGAGAGCAGACATCCTTGCTTAAGGCCTCTCTTTTTATTTTCACTTTTCGTTTTTCATGTTATATTTATATTTTCATTTTTCAAAAAACAAAAGTCCCTCATCAGAATATCAAACAGTTAACAAGTACCTAGAATAATGAAACCGCTCTGGCATCTGTTGGTGACCCAAAACCATTAAGACACTTAATGCTGGTATTTTCCATCAGATGGAACTTTGAGTGTGGAAATGGAGCAGTGGGAGAGCAGTGAACAGCAGTAATCATTTCTGGAACAAATGGATCCGTTTGTACATGCCAGTGACGTTAAAACATGCCGTTTCATGGATGATGCTTTGATTTCAATATGAAAGGATCAATTTGTTCTTTTTTTTTTTTTTTTAATTAAAAAAAGATATCGCAAATGTTCGCTCTTAACTATGAGAGAGCTTGGATAACGTTTCAGTTTTTAACTGATTTACTGATGAAACAGATCAGTTATCTTTTGATGTTCAAAACACAATGTTCTTTTTTTTTTTTTTAAGTGTTTCTTCACCTGTTTCTGTTGCTGCTGCTCTAATGTGTAAAGTCTGGATTGTATCAAGGAGATACCAACAAGGGATTGCATGAAATGAAAATGAGGAAAGGCTCACTGAACCAAGGGGTCTGAATAAAACAAACCTTGAGAATGCAGATGTGTTGCCTTCAAAAAAGACAACCTGCAGAGTCTGAGCTTTAGACAAACCGAAATGAAAGAAATACCATAGAGGCCAATAAAGATTTTGAAATGCTCCAAGATCAATAATATTAAGGGCTGCTCCTAAATCGATAAGAAAGACGGCTGATAGAGAGCACTGGTCTGTGGATGATAGCAGATCATTTTTTATTCTCTATTATTGCTCCTGTCAATGCAAGTGGCCTGGTGGAAAATTGGAAGATATCTCATATTGTTCTATTTTTTTTTTCTTTTTTTAATTGAAAAAGTAAGTAAGACACTGGACTCCATCATGATGTAGCAGAGCAGTGGATCTTTGTCCCAGATCAGTTTTGATTATTTCACTTCCATTTCAACCAACCTTAGATGCCTTTAAAATGATGCAATCGAATGAGCCAGGAGCTCACAAAAAGACATCTTCACTGAGTTATTCAAAGATTTTTATGGTGACGACATCTAAAAAAAAAAAACAAAAACAGGAGCAGCACTTACCTAACCTGCATGCGGGATATTTATTCCCCATTTACATTTATCTTCTTTGTTTGATTTTTGCACTCACAGCAAATGACAATGAATCGAGCAGGTGTTAGGTAAAGAAGATTTGTGGGCAGACAGTGAAAGGGGTGGTGGAGAAAAAGGGGGGTTTGATTTGTTTGGTACAGTTTGCAGATCGAAGCTGTTGGTTCAGCATGGAGTGGGTTTCTCCGCCTGGTGCTGCATACAGTGTTTATGCACCTTCCCCATCCCTCTCCCCTTATTATGCTGCACATGGGTGACACAGGACTGAACTAGTGCGGGCTGCTCTGTGCTCCAGCTGCATCTGCTTGTTGTGAGCCCACAGGGAATGCTGTATATGTGTGTGTCTGTGTGTGTGTGTGTGTGTGTGTGTGTGTGTGTGTGTGTGTGTGTGCATGTGTGTACTCTGCCTGCGCACCAAGGCTGCCAGAAAATATGGGTAGAGCAGCGGGGATTGCAGGGCTCTGCACTTACCTAAGCCATTCACAGGCTCAGCATCACACAGTTGATTCAGCACCTTGCTAATAGCGCACACATTAACTGCAGCACAGATCAGAGGAGGAGTGCAGTAATGAGAGAGAGCCCGGCGTTTGTTCCTGCTCAGTGTGTGTGTGTGTGTGTTTGCGTGTATGTGTGTGTGTGTGTGTGTCTGAGTGTGTGTGTTTGTGGACGTATGTGAGAGAACGTCTGTGTTGAGCAAATGTGTGCATGGTGCGTCTAGTGTGTGTTTGTGAGAGAAAGAGAAATAGAGGGGGAGAGAGTGAGTGAGAGGGAGAGGGAGAGAGAGAGAGAGAGAGAAGGAGAGGGAGAGCGGACATGTGTTAGTAAGAGCTGGGAGGAAGGATGGCTGCTCATGTTTGAACTGCCTCAAATGCTGAAAGGGAGAGTCAAGGCAAAAATTCAGAGGCAGAGAAACAGACGTCTCACTGGGGGACACATCTTGTTCATCATTTGTGGGGAAGCAGAAAAGATTTGGCAATGCCTGCTGAAGTGAAAGAGGTAAGTGTGTGGTGGAATGGCTCTATTTGCTCTGTACCCTCCCTCTTTTTTTTTTTTTTTTTTTTTTTTTCTTTCCTTCCTGCGGAGAACTGTAACCCTCCACAGCTATGCATTCTGCCTCTGTCATGATGAATGAAGGAGGCATCAATAGCTTCACCTCCTTGCCTCTCACTGCTGTTCGGTGCAGTCTCCTTGTGTGCATGGGGACATGATGCTAACATCTCCATCAAGTGCGTGTGTTCGTGTCTGTGTGTGCTGAGCCTGTGCGTGTGTGTGTGTGTGTGTGTGTGCACGCTCATGGCTGTGCATGTGTGCAAATGCATAGGCAAGCTCATAAAGGGGATAATCTTTGATTGCATTATGAGGAGAGGTTGTCCCTCTGGGGGAAAATGCTGCACATACTCTGGTAAGTGTATTGCCATGATGTATCAGAGAGACACTAAATCTGACCATGCAGTATTTAACTATTTGAGGATCAAAGCGTAATCAGGAGTGAAAGGAGGCTCCAAATAGAAACTTTGAGAATGAATATCCATCCTTCCTTTTTTTTCAGGGCTGTAATTTTCAATCAGTATTTACTCTAAATAGTCCAGCCTGGTTACATTAAGGGTAAACAAGATGTATTGCATAATGGACAATGGTGTTTCTGCAGGAAACAAGCCTTAAACGAGAAGAATCTTTTCATGCATCTGCATCATTTCAGTGCCATTTCATTCACAATGCACAGCGACACATTCAGTAAATGTACAGTGACCAACATGAGCATCACTGATTCAACAGATAGTGGAGATGAGTTGTGACAAAGTTGTGACTAATGTCTTCTGACATCAGTGGGCTGATGTCATGTTTTATTATCCTGTGGAAGCATTACTCTTTCAGTCCCACCGTCTGATAAAAGACGAGCTGCAAACTAATTTATGCTCAAGTTTGATCACTACAAAATGACTCTGCCCCACTGATTTAATTGCAATTAAGAGTGCCCATTTTTCAAATCGTTTCGTCTTTCTGGAATGGATTCATGACAAGTTTGAATCATGGCTTGTGCCTGTTGTGCCCTTGAGCTGGTCACCAAGATCTGAACTCACTCAGCATTAGATCAGACTGTGTGTCTCCCAAAATAATACCCTGGCTGCAGCTGGCCTCAATACTGAGACTTGACGGGAACAAGATGCTAATCATGTCATTCTGTCTCCTGCATCGCTGCACCTAACATCTCTATACAATACCTCATTTTTCTTTTTCTTTTTTTTTTTTCCAAGCTAAGTCAGATTCAGAATCATCATCTTGACCTATTTGGCTCTGTGAGCACACTTAGTTAGTGATGGTGCAGTGAGTTATTTAAATGAGCTTTGACTCACAGTGGCCTGGCCTTCCCTGGAGCTTGAATCAGACGGGGACAGCACACAGGCCCCTGTCCAGCCTATTATCGTCCTCCAAATCCTTAATCAAGCTGTCTGTAGAGGACAGTGGTACCCCGTCTGTCTTTTAGCCAGGCATTCATTTAGTGCTGCCTAACAATATCCAATCAGCTTCCCCCAGAGGTGTTCAAGCTGGGATCATCTCCCCACTGCCAATTCCTCCTAGGTGACCCTTTCATCTCCTCTTCCCTCTGACACATTTTGTACACGGAAATGAGGGGCTCTTGTGTTTGGTGGGGTGTTTGAAAAGCGAATCAGGCTCTCTCCCTCCACATTCAGTCAGCTCTTCACTGCAGCCTGATTTAATGCAGTGGAGTTGAGTTCTCAGCACTTGTTCGGTTCAGTGCCGCAGCCTCAGACTGACGAGAGTTTGGGGAGATTTTAACAGTTTACTCGGTTTTTATCTGACACTTTTATCTCTGCACGTCCTTCAGCGTGTTGCGTCTGTGCTACTGAGTGATAAAGATCCTGTGAGATTATATACATTTATGTCATATTTCTGAAAATGAAAATTGATTTAGAGAGTGGACAAGCATAAACAGACTCATAAATGATGCTGCGGAATTGATCGTTTCCATAATAGAACCTTTCAATTACACTCTCTAATGTTTTGATGGGTTGTTTGCATTGTTGTTGTCCCAGATTGTAGTGGCATTCACCTGCTGTAACCAGAAGGTTAGGGCTAAAAGAGGTGTATAAGATAATCTGATACTGAGTAAAATCATTAGTCTGAAATTTTTGTAGACCCTCACACTCACGAAATGAATGTGAAGTTTGTAAGAAAATCAGTATGAAATGTGTTTACAGTCAAATACTGCCTCCAGTTCTTTCTCCGACCAAGATGCTGAATAATTAATCCACTCTGGTTAATGAAACCCATTTTGTTAAAAAGAAAAGAGAGTTTAAGTTCTGTTTGAAATAAACAAGTGGAAATTAAAGAAATATCTACATGTTGTACCAGAGCAGCAGCTGGATTATTGATTTAAGAGTCAGTGGTAAATCGGGTCTCACACTGAATAACTTGAATGACAACAGCAACTGACTGCTCACATCCAATCCTATAACAGTGTTGCTGTGTTTTGTCAGGGGTCCTTTTATACATGCTTACATAACACATTGAGGAACACCAACGTGTATTTAGAAAGATTAAGGCATAAATAAGTCAGTTTTAGAAAATAACAAGTGAAAGCTCTGCACTTGTGTGTATATTAAAAACATTACTGACAATCTGATAATAATAATTACATGGTCATTTTGGCTAATACAGATACAGATAACAATAAGATGTTGCCTCGTTTCATACGTGACAGGGGGAGATAGCAGGTGCAGATGCAACTGACTTCTGAAAAACACTGCTTTACCTCATCCTAAATTATTACCAAACACATCACTGTTTGTGTTTGCACTCAAGACGACTAGAGCAAGTTATTTCAGCTGAAATGTAGAAAACAATATTTTCTGTTTCTTCTTTTTTTTTCTTTTTTTTTCCTGATCTGTGAGAGCCTCCCTGCAAGACGTGGCCTGTCAGTTTCTAAACATGTCAAAAAGAAGGAGGAAATCTGCTCCCTGAAATCATTATAAAAGTTTTTAACAAGTATGCATAAAGTTGGGCAATAACTGTGTCCATTGGAAGCAGCAAATGTAATCAGGAATTGAGCCTGAAACTTCTGGAATTTCCAATAATGTTTAAAACAAATTAACACACACTCCAGTGCACATGTCATTAACAAACCAACCATGCAATTATCAAATGATCCTGAATTGTACTTGTTGTAATATTGTAACATACTATAAAGCATGACGAACTGATATATTATGCATCCTAGTCTGCACACAATGAATGAAACCATACAACTTCCTCATTAAATAAGCGGCAAATTGCATCTCTCATCCTTTATTATGTCCCTCTGTATATCTTCTCTGCTGTCTACACATGATTACTGGCAGAATGACTTTGCCACTGTTTTCCCAAGGACAGATTAAATTACAGTTCACCAAAAAGCTCACACACAGGGAAAATGTCTCTGATTTCCAAGACATATATTAGTCTAATTTAAAAAATAAGTGTGTATATTGGCATTATTCAGCATGAATTGAACAGTTCATATTTCAAATTATACAAATTATGTGATAATGGAGTGGAACTGAGTTGAGCTCTCAGCACTGAATCTGCTCACAAACCAGCGTCAAGTGCAGCTCCTTTATCGTGTGTAGACAGCCTTAATGACATGGAGTGCTATCACAGTGCTGTCTTCCCCTTGATCATCTCCCTGTTTGTGTGTAATGTAAACGCAACAAACATAATACACACAAACGATGCAGGAATGATGCTGCTCAGCTACAGCTCTATGTGTGTGTGTGTGTGTGTTTGTGTGTGTGTGTGTGTGGTTTTAGGAGCAGAGTTCAGAGGGTCCTCCTCCACTAACTTTACCCCAGGAGGCTAAAGAGCCCACTCTGGATACCCCATCTGCTAATGACGAACTGGACACACCCACCTCCATTGCCTCCGTGATGACCTCGACCAATGAGAGCTCCACGGAGACCGACACCCCGCAGCAGACAGACACTGAGGTTCATGATTTTACATTTGGTCACATTTCTGTCACCACCTACCGATTTTCTGCAGTTTGTAACAAAACCACAGAGAAGTAATTTTCTCCAAACTCAAATTATTTATCAATAACAGTTTTTAGACTAAATTATAGTCAAATTGGGCATGGTGTTGGGCATAGTGAGATTGAGTCAATGTGTTCCAAGAATGAGAAAAAATGAAAGCTGAGGAGATAGCTAATGTACCTGGCAATTGGATTTAAAGTTAAAGAATAAATGAAAAAAAACATTTTTTACTTTTTGAAATCAATTGAAGTTATTTTACTCAATGTGTGATGTATACTTTTACATCATCAACCTGTTACTGGCATCATAGGTGACACACACACACACACACACACACACACACACACACACACACACACACACACACACACACACACACACATCCACTAAAGATACTGTATAGTGCTCTTAAACAGGCCGGGCTGTAACGCTGAGTTTCAGTTACAATGACAGGCAGAATAAGCCAAGTTGCCCTCTGGGGCAATTATACCATGAAATTTAATGCAACTAAGTTCTATTTCACTGAGCTGTGACATGTTTACATGCAACACGTTCACACTCTACAATGAAAGAGTTAAAATCAAAATCAACTGACTAAACCAGACAATTAAATTTCCTGCAATTTACTCCGCTTCTGAACAGTGGCTGGACCTCAAGTCGTTTCATCAGAGTCCAATCTAAACTCATTTTCAACAAGGGGAATTCATTATTCTTTGGCTGGAAAGAAGAATTCATTATTTACTGGTGGCTCACAAAGCCAGGGAAGTGCTGAAATGAGAGTGATTGATCATCACTATGAAAAATGAGCTGGGGTGGGCTATACGGTCTAAATGAGAAATAAACACACACTCTAGGTAAAAGGAACATGTTTGGTGTTTTCCAACTAAATTAAGACCAAATAGTTCCTGCTGTGACTGAAAACACGGCAATTTGGTGGCATTTAAGGGGATGGAGGAAACCCACAGGCCACACAGACAAATGGGATTTTAACAGTGATTCAGATTAGAATTTTTGTGGAGGTAATAGTTGTGGTGCTTCAACCCTTGTAGGAGTCCAAGGCTGTGGAACAAGAGGGTGAACAGGCCCTGAGTGAGACCCCAGAATCCTCAGAGACACAACTGGAGAACTTCCCGACACCAGACACACCTGATCTCACATTGACTCCAGTGGCTCAAGATAACACTCCTGCTGAGCAAACTATTCCTGAAGCAAACACTGAACCCTCTGAGTGTCTTACACCAGCCACGACGACCAGCAGCACCACCACAGCACCCCCGCAGCCCCATGTGGTACTGCAGCCTGGGGAGCTTCAGCCAGTGAATCCAGACAGCCAGAGCAGAGTGTACACCCTGCCTGACAGCTACAGAACCATCGGGGGTGACTTATGCGCAGGGTATGGAAGCCTGTCCCGCGCCACTCTCCACAGCTACTGGCCTGCCAAAAACTTCCAGCCTGGGGCTCACTACACCTTACCCTTCCTAAGGGACAGCTATGCTCCTGCAGGACTCAGCAGCCAGACAGAAGACGATGGCCTCAGCGAACGGGGAGAAAATCCTCTGGACATGAAGACTGACCACCCAACTGCCAGCTACCCAACACTGGGGGGGATCCATCAGTTCAGGCCTATTACCACCATGGAGCTCCTCAGAGAGCCCTCGAGAACCAGGTAAGAGGCCAGTACATTAAATCAAACTTTATTGATCCCACAGGAGCAGACTGTGTGAATGGGTTTCAAGGACACTTGTAGTTTCCATGGTGCCTAGATGTAGGGTCAAATACAGACGAGTCCCTACATGTACTTAGGTAAGGAAAGGGAAAGTGAATCACTTATGAACCACTGTGATTTTTTAAAGCTCTGAATGCAAAGGTGCATAAAAATCTAACCATGTTTATATGTTTCTGAATAGCTACTCCATTTGAAAAGCAGAGATGTAGGCAGAGATCCAGAGGCCACAAATGAGACATAGGGGAAAAGTAAAACGTGAAGACAGGGATATACTGCAGCAGTAACAAACACATCAAATACAAGCACTAATCAACACTCAGTCTAATTTTGTCCTTGCTGTGATGATAATGCATCCTCAACTTTGTAGCAGCACAGACAGACAGTAGTTGCCTTTATCCTGTTCCTGTGAGTCAGCCTGGACAATAGAAAGACAGATGGACAGCAGTTAAGTAGCAGCTGGTATCAATCAGGCAACCTGCTGCAAAGTCGATAAATAAGAAGGTTTCACCTGTTATTGCCTGCCAGAAGCTTTTCCTTAGCCCATATAAAGTGACAGAGCTGTTTACAAAAGATACAAGCGAGTCACTCACGCTGTTAAAGTCACCAAAGCTCAGTCTATTAAACTCAGAAACGCCATTCAACCCCTTCCATTCAACATGACATTTTGGGCAATATGCTTATTCACTTTATAGCTGAGAATTGGATGAGAGGATTGATACCACTTGGTTAAGTATGAGACTGTAGCCATAGCTTAGCTTAAAGACTGGCAGCATAGGGTAACAGCTAGCCTGGCTCTGTCGAAAGGTAACATAATCCGCCTTAAGTCTTCAGGAAGTCACTGCACCCAGCCAAGAAATAGTCCTGTACATAACCCCCCCTTTAACACCTCAACTTGACATTTTTACACTTTGGTTTTTGTATAGATTAAACAAACAAGATATAATATTTTAATTAGGCAGCTTTAGAGGTGTTGGCAGGCAGATTCTTTAAAAATCTTTTGACAGAGCCAGGCTAGCTGTTTTCCCCTGTTTCCAGTCTTTATGTTAAAATAGGATAATCTGCTGCTGACATTAGCTTCATATTTAGTTTACAGATAGTGGTATTGATCTTGTCTAATTCTAAGCAAGAAAGTGAATAAGTGCATTTACCAAAAGACATAACTTTTAATTCAATTCTAATTCAAGATTGATGATTGTGTATTTTCTTGTCGTGCATGACATTCTCTATCCCCTCAGAGGTGGCTATGATGATGCCTTCATGGCCCAGCTGGAGGGGAACCTGAATCCTTTTTTCCAGGCCATGTGCCGAGCGCAGACCCTGCAGTTCCCCCACAAACGCAGCAGCATGGTCAGCCTGGACAGCATCCGCAGAGACCCGCGCTGGAGAGACCCCAACCTGCATGAGGTGATCTCGATGCTCAGCCACCCAATGGACCCAGTCAAGTCCAATGCAGCTGCTTATTTGCAACACCTGTGTTATGAGAATGACCGCATCAAGCAGGAAGTCCGTCAGCTGAACGGGGTGCCGATCTTGGTGGAATTACTGGACCATCCTAAAGCTGAAGTCCACCGCAAGGCCTGTGGTGCTTTGCGCAACATATCCTTTGGGAAAGACCACAATAACAAAATGGCCATCAAGAGCTGTGATGGCATACAAGCTTTAGTCAGACTGCTGAGGAAGTCCAGCAGCATGGAGGTCAAAGAGTTAGTCACAGGTACAGCGAAACTCCTGAATCTTCCTGGAGCCTTGACCTGCAAACCTTTTTGTTTCTACAGCTTTTCTTTGTATTTTCTCTCCTGCAGGCACTTTGTGGAACCTCTCCTCACATGAGCCGCTGAAGATGATGGTCATCAACCACGGGCTTCAAACATTGACTGATGAAATCATCATCCCGCACTCAGGCTGGAGGAGAGACTCGGCCGACCCCTCCAAAATGCAGAGCGCTGAGTGGACCACGGTCTTCAAGAACACCTCTGGGTGTCTGAGGTAAGCTCGGCTACTGTCAAGGAACAAATGACAACATTTTTCTAAAAGCTGATTTGTAACGGAACCAGTTCTTGCAGGGCTGCTAACAACAGTCGTTTCTGCAGGAACGTCAGCTCAGATGGGGCGGAGGCTCGACAGAGGTTGAGGGAGTGTCAGGGGCTGGTGGACGCGCTCCTTCATGCCCTTCAGTCAGCTGTTCTCAACAAGGATACTGACAATAAGGTTGACTTATGTTTTGAAATTTAAGAAAAATATTCTACCCAACATGTGTCTTTTCTTTTTATTAGTTAATAATATATAGGCCACTATGCTTAGCTTTTTAAACCCAATTTCAAATAGTGATAGCATCTGTCAACTCTAAAGTAAAGCAAACTAAATCTTGTTTATTGAACGCATCAAGTGATTAAGATTTAATCAAACCTGGCACCCTGGTACATTTAGACAAAACAACCAGTTTAATGAGACTATTAGTATATAACACTATGTTGCAATAGAGGGTTTGGGTTGTTGTTTTTTCTTTAAAGTCACCATCAAGTGAGTTTTCATTCTAAAACAGTCAATTACCAATCCTCCATCTCTTACTGCAATAAATCCCCTGGCACTTGTTTCGGATACTTCACTGACTTAGCATCAAATTTAAGTTAATAGCCTGTAGACAATTGCATTTCATTCAGCCATTTAATGCAAGTCCAGCCCATCAAAGTCATTAAAGTATGGAAGGAGTAGTATTCTCCAAAGTCTTTGACATTTCTTTTATTTATATTTTGATTAAAAAAAAAAAAGTCAATGCATTTTCATCTAAAGAGGAAACTGATGGTCAGTGTGAATACTCCTAGTGTGTTTGAACCCTCTGGACGGTGACTTTGATTGAAATCCTCTGTCGTTGTTTGCCATTTAGTCAGTGGAGAACTGCGTCTGCATCCTGCGAAACCTGTCCTACCATGTTCACAAAGAGATACCAGGAGCCGAGCGATTTCAGGAGCCCCATGCCAATCACCTGATGAGGTCAGTGGGGCACCAGAAGAAGAAGAATGAGCCTGACTGTTTTGGCGGGAAAAGACCCAAAGGTTGGTAGGCCAAAATAAGTGAGAATAGAATAGAATAGTTATTGATGGTTGTATTATTTCAGTTTTGGTTGCTTGGATTAAAAACAATGAGATTTTCATTGTCTTTGATGTTTTTAAAGGTCTCAGGTCGATTCATTGGCTTATCGACAAAACAAACATTTATTGTATCTTGAATTATGGAAGATACCTCTAACAATGAACAACCCAAATTAAGTGAATGCCAGCTTTGTTTTTCTTCCACTCCTCCCATAACACTCAACATACATTTTTTTTTTTTAGTTTTACATGAGATCTATTTTCTTAATTTCCCCTTAACAGTTGCATAATCTACTGGTGTCACTTTAAACCAACTATTTTTTCTGTTTGAAAATTTTCATTTACTTTCAACGTGTCCTGCCTTCGAGCATCGGTTTCACATTTCTTGCCCCCTTTTTATGCCAATGAGAGCCTGAATATTTCATCACCCTTTGCAGGAGCTGATGATAGATTTTGCTCTGTAGGACGAGTGCCAAGTCCCAAATTGAAAAAGCGTGCGCATACTTTGTTACATCAGTTATGTGATTTTTACACCATGCAACTGATGCAACAAACAGGAAGGTTTTAAACTGTGAGAAAACTTTTTGGCAGTGATGCTTAACCGACGTAAGAAACAATTTCAATTATAGCTGATATACAGTAATTAATAGATCGCAGCTGTTTTTGCTGGAGGGAACTAATTAATAGAGAAACAACAGGGTTAGAGTTGACTGTGATTTAAAGTTTTATAGCTTTTCACCAGTGTTAACCTTTTAGCTCATTGCACAAAAACGACAAATGCCAAGCTGAGCCAAACATTACCCAGAATAGGCCAGTTCTTCAGTCCTGTCTCACCACATAGAAAAGCTCTGTGTTTTCTGCTGCTGTGTCCTTGTCCAACATAATCTAATCTTTGACATTGTTCTCTCCTCTTTTCCTTTCAATCCTTATTCACCAGAGGAGTGGTTCAATCAAGGTCAGTCTGCTTGTTACTCCTGAATATCTCTACCGCAGTAGTATTGTGACTCGATACCACTATTGAATTTGCTGACGTGATCTGATATAATGAAAACTGGTGTTTTGTGTTTGTGTGCATGTGTGTGTCTGTGATGTGCAGGTTGGAAAAATGGATTTATGGACAGGAAATACGGTACATTGGATTTACCAAAACGTACAGAACATATGAAAGGTATATGATATCTGAAAACATAATAGCAACTTCACATAAAACAGAAATACTGGTGACAGTATGGCTAATACATTAGGCTTATTATGAATAGATTAAAGGCAGATACCATATAAACAATTTCCATCATTCATCATCATCATCATCCCACTATTATACAGCATCATTATCTGCTTTCTGTTTCATTTTGTTTTGTATGCATGACGTTGGCATGGCCTGCAAGAGAATTCATTTAAATGCAAAGCCACACATCAGCACCTGCGCCACTTGAAGAGAGTTTCATTACTAAAACAAAATGACCCACCAACTCAAGGACTGATAACACTTTTATCAGGCAACATCTAGAGGAGGAACATTTCCTCTAGCAATATAAGACAGGCATTGGAATTTGCTGAGGGTTCTGCATGACCTACAGTATGTGCACGGCGCAGACATTGATACTTTATTTGGTACTGCTAAACTATCTTTACATTTTGTATATATTTTGTGTGGCTGTTTTTAACCATGAATGTATTCTGTATATAGAAACTGTGGAGGGGGGGATTTCCCACAGTAGTACAATAGAGCTGAATACTGTATATGTGAATCTGGCTGCCATTAGAACTGAGATCAGAGACACTCATGCCTCCTACGCTGCAGCCAGTGAATGCATATCAGAATGACAAGCATGTTACGGTCCTGGGTCAGCTTTATACCACTTGTCAGGCGTCCAGCATCCTCTACTGGCACAGTACAAACACTGTCTGCAGAAGTCTGCTAGACTTGTGATTTTCTTCCCATATGGTTTCATCAAATTATTTAGATTTTAATCTATTGTCCTACCTTCCTTCTGGTTCAATGTTAACATGTATACAAAATGATTTAGTGACTTCAAGCTAATTATTAATGACACCATTATTTAAGTCTTTAGCCACTGATGCAGGTAATTTGCTTGAATGTCAACTCCTGCCTTTCTTTGCCTTTCTGTTGAAGGGTTGGAGCTGCTGTACCAGCCGGAGGTGGTGAGGCTCTACCTCTCTCTTCTCACCTGCAGTCACAACCACAACACGCTGGAAGCGGCTGCAGGAGCGTTGCAGAACCTTGCTGCGGGACACTGGGCTGTGAGTGGTTGAAATAGTGACATTTGTTTGGCCCATTCATAGTGTACCAGTAGCTGATTATTTTCTGAGATGCTTAGACACTGCACCCAAAATAAGTTTTATTTGAATCTAGAGCTTACTGCTGAAAGTCAGTAGGCTATATATCCATGGCTGCTGTCATAGTGTCCTAATGTCCTTATACACTGTTCCATGGAACAGATCCAGGATTTGTCTCTGAGGCTGCATCAATATTCTAAGTATGCAGAAAGATGGAGATACAGGGTTGATCATCTTAATCTAACTGGACTAGCTAGATTGACTTTGTCACCAGCCGACATGATCAAAAATCACTTTTACTGCCATGTACCCCAGGTGGATCCATGGGGCTGTCAAATAATGTGCTTTGCCAAGATATACTGTGCCGTGACTGTCACTATAATTTAACATCAACGCTAGGGCAGGGCTCAGATTAAAGGAGTTTTAAAATGCTTGGATTTGAAATTGAGTTACATCATACACAAGAGGACAGTTGAGCGAGTAGAACTTGGTTCTTACTTATGGTATAGATGGCAATTTAAAAACTTTTTTTTTTAAACAAACTCTCACACATACTTAGAAAAATCCTTTGTTATATATTTTGTGTTTGTGCTTGTAGTGGTCCAGCTACATCCGGGCCACAGTGAGAAAAGAGAAAGGGCTGCCTATTCTGGTGGAGCTGCTGCGCTCAGATGTAGACAAAGTGGTGCGAGCTGTGGCTATTGCTCTTCGCAACCTGGCCATGGACAGAAGGAATAAAGACCTAATAGGTTCAGGCTTGTAATTCTCAACTACATACACACGGCTCTGCACTTGCACACTCACTAACTAACTTTGCTATGATGTCTGTTGTTACAAGGGAGTTATGCTTTGAGGGACCTTGTCGGGAATCTGCCATGTGGGCAGCAGCACCCAGCGAAGAATCTTGAGGGAGACACGGTGGTGTCTATTCTGAATACTATCCATGAGATCATCACAGATAGCCCAGAGAACGCCCGAGCGCTCATACAGGGTCATGCTGTGCAGAAACTGGTGGCCATCAACAAGTCCAGGTATGTAATGTCTTTCAAATAAAATATATTACTCTATTGTATATGTACTGTATTCCAGCTTGCTAAACAGTCAAACAGTTAAAGCTAAAATGTTCTAAATCTAAATCTAAATAAGATGGAAAACATGTGGAGAAAGATGCACTGGTTTTATAGTATATATTTGCTGTAACTGCTTAATGTCTGTCTGTATTTCTAACACAGGCTTGATACAATAGCTCATTATATTATCAGCATCATATCCAAGGGCAATCAGAAATGGATTTGAATCATTGGGACAGTATTGTCTCACAGCTGTCCTCTGTTGTTTACCATAATATCTGATGATTTGTTGTCAGCCAATCAGCACGGGAGACCAAGGCAGCTTCCCACGTACTCCAGACAATATGGGCCTACAAGGATCTGAGAAACACTTTGATCAAGGCAGGTTGGAACAAGGGCCACTTTAAGGTATTTCTTACTATTTCCTGGCCATTTAAAACTCAAAGAGCATAAACAGAGTCAGCATGCATTATGAAGTACATAAAGGTTTAAAGAGTAACACATTTTTTATCCCGATGTGGCATGACTATACAAACCAGTGTACACCTATTAGTAGTAATATGTGTTGAGATTTAACTGCTGTCAAGCATGGATAAGAAAAAACAATATACGATTAACTGTGAAAATTATGATAAAAGAGGGGACTGTGACATTTGTACTTGATTTAAAAGTGATCTGTAACTTTAAGCAAATAGTCTCATGTCACATAAGAAAACAAAAGATTTGTTACTCTCCAAGATTCTATCCAAGTTATTCTAATCAAAACCAATGTAATGTCCATTTATATATAAAAAACAGGAAAGTTCTTGTCACCACCCAGTAATTTAATCTTTCTTGTCTTTTAAAGCCAACAACCACAGGAGTGACTAAAAAGTCCAAGAGTGGAAAACAAGGCAGTGATGACATCACCTTGCCTCTCATGGACAAAAACCAAGGTCAGCAAATCATTGCATGCATTCCTTAAGCAGAATGTTACTAAACCATCATCTAAATGAGAAAAGCGTCCTCTATCTGAGGGGACAAAAAGTGATTTTAAACATACTGTGCTTCTTGTCATGTCAGGGACAAAGAAATAGGGATTTTAAGTCCCAGACCACATTCTTCTGAAACATAGCCTTAAACCAATGGTGTGCTGCCAAGGTTATCAGTGCACAGACTTGGCTTATTAGCCTGAGCAGTTTCTCCCAGAGGCAGAGCAGGCTCACGCATCACCACGCATCACATTTCATTTGAATGTTATACCAAAAGGGCAACCACTTTCCCATGTTGAGAGCGACCTCTAGCTTCCCACTAAAACAGAGGTTTTCTCTCAAGGCAGCCTTATGAATTATGAACACAACTTAAACACACTTTGAAATATGAATCTGGGGGAAATGGATATACACTACTTCCAATGAATTATTTCGTTGTGTTTGCCTGTATCGCTATCTGGTGTTTCAGTCTAAATGAATAGATAACATGCCCTTTTGGAAATTCGTATTTCTTAAAAAGGGCAATAGGCACACAGCCCATGTATATATCACGTTGGGTCTGCAGTATAAAACAGTTTAAAAAAGTGGTTCTATATCATGTCCCTCTCATTTTTAGTAACAGTTAATATTGTCATATAAAGATGCCAAAATAGACGAGTAAAGCTCAGCGCTCTTTGTAGTAAAAAAGATAAAAAAGGAAAAAAACAAGGGTTACAATGCAAATGCTTACACAGCATTGCTATATATTGATATAGCATATATAACACCAACACCATGCCCAATTTTATCCCAGTTTGTTATGTGCTACATTCATGTATATAAATGCAGAAAATATATATTAATTTGCTGGTTTGATTTGCTGCTCTTTCACAGCATCTTACTGGCCTGTTGTGAAAAACAATTGTTGGTGTGGGGTTTGTAGGCTTCTCTAGACAGCAATAAAACATATAGCATATTTGTAATCTTATTGTTTCACAGTGAAATGGTATTTAAATTAAAATGGGTATATAGGCGAATATTACCTCATTTAAATGGAACTTTGTCCTCTCTTGCAACAAGAGTGGTAGCAGTAAAACAGCAGCGTTTTGGTAATCCAAGAAACGAGGACACACAGACACAGAAAGAAAAGTCAGGTAGACTCTAATGGATACACATTTGTTGACAGAAAAGTTACCGTTTTGCCAACCCCACACTAATAGCTTTGTAGCCAGGTCTTTGATTACATTTGTTTACAAGCACATTAGCGCCTCATTTTAATAACCGAGCCATGTAATGTTAATTAAAAGAGGGATAACCCACATAGCATCCAGGTCATTAGCATCATTAGCTTAGGATAAATGTAACCAAGCATTCACGTCAGCCGAGCCACTTTCTTGAAATAAAATATCTTTGAAAACTGAAAGAAAGTATAATCATGGAATTGTATCTGGATTAACATGTTTACCCTATGCTGCTTGGTGACCCAGTTTATTTAAATCGTACATTATACTGGGAACTGGGAATTTTCAGTTAACTGTCAACATTAGCTAGTTACAAGGTTAACTTGTTAGGTAGCTAAACTGAAAAACTGCGATGATGAACCCTTTTATGTAAAAAAGGTTCTTTGATTTGGGAGATAGAGATCTAAAGTGACCAAACTCACAATTTCCAGAAGCAGGCTTCTTATTACAGGTGACTAGTTTGTCAAAAGGTTTCCATACAAACTGATCCATCTGTTCAGTTTCTCTCTAAGCCCCCCCCCCCCACCCCCCACGTCTTTGCCATATTGTTTACTGCTGCATAATCTTTTTTTTTTCTTGCAGATGTATATTCCAGTTTAGAGCCAAATGATAGAGTTGGAGATGGGAAAGGCCCTGTTGTGGAAAGAGATGCTCTCCAGGTAATCTGCCATTTTAATGTACTGAATGCAAGCATGATTATCTGAAGATCTAAAGGTCTTCATGACAGCGAATACAAATTGTTTTACATACAGCCTCATTTACTTATAACTGACTTCATAACCTATCCCTGGCATGGAGGATAAGCAGATACAAGTTTTATTTCACAGGATTTTATTTTAAACAGTTACTCTCCTGTGGCGTGTGCTTGCAACTGTCAGGGCTTTTCATGCAAATTGGCTAACAATGGCTGTTTGCATATTTCTCGACCTAGGCGATAAGTGAAAGAAAACACTTCATCAGAGCTGGCAGGCCTGCAGTGGGCCTCATGGATAACAAACCTCCACCACTGGACTCCTGGGTGTAAACGTGACAACATGGCCACTGAAGCCGGTTAAATCCTGCAGAGACACTTTCCATTGGTGAAATACAGATTTGTGCCATTGGATCATTCTTGTACAGACAGAGAAACACATTCAGTTAAAAATCATTTCCTTTGTTTACAGGAAGTACTGTGCCAAACATTTACATGTATTTATTACGGAGATTATTTGGCAATAGATTCGATGGATTATTGTCATTTAGGGCGATATACACTACACCTGATGGATTATGTATGACATCTGAAATAGCCTAAATATGCAAACTATAGTGAATCAAGACTCCAAAGAATATATGACATGTACAATTTAAATTTTACTGCTACACAAGTATGAGATAATTTGTAATACTCCTAGTTTGTCAAGCTCTTAAGACCTAAAGTGATATGTGGATCTGTTGTTGTCCATCCCCATGGGTTCTGGGCTAAAGAAGATTCTGATATATAATAATTTTAAAACTATTTTTGGTCAGTGTTTGAGATCATTAGGATAAGGGTTCTCGTCGGCCTAGCCATCAAAAACATGCAAATGATTTGGACTTCAGTTTATACCTGACAAATGTATCCTCAGACTAGACTGTGCAGTCATTAGCAAATTGTCTCTATTCCATTTGTTTCATGATAGGCGAAATGGGATTGTAAATGTGTAACAAAGGACTGTTAATATTCTAAATGAAGGCATTTATATTGTAATATTTATTGTAATACCCATGTTATTAATTAAAGGTTATTGATGTGTATTAGCTAATACCAGTAAGCTGTCCTACATTCAATACAACTCTGCTTTGCAGTGGTCCTTTTTGCATTGCGATGTTGAATGAAAAATGAAAATAAATGATGTGCATAATTTCTCATTTTTATTTGTATTCTCTTTTTGTATTACAGACTGAATTATATGTCCCTTTCCATTTCAGAAAATCTCGAATTTCTCCCTGGCATGGTCCAGCTGAAAACATTAAGCATTTGTCTTTTAGTCTGATGTACACGTGTTCACAGCCAGTGCTAATTTCCAATACTACTCAGACTACTCAGACTACATGGACAAGACAGCGTACAAAATGATAAAACATTCTCTGCATAAGGATTTGAACTTTAAAGCGGCTTAATTTACAAATACAACTACAAAGGTGGGCTCTATTAGGCTGAATGCCAAGTAGCAGCATTTGTCAGCTGTAAAAGAGGTCAGTACAATGATGAGCAAGTTTTCAGACCACTAGCCCAACACAGCTCCAGAGGGGCAAAATCTGTGCCAAACCGCAGGTGCGCTGGCCAGAAAACACTGACAAATTTATTTAATTATTCAAGGAGAACAGTCTGAAAAACACACTGAACTCCCAGCAGACATAAAAGTTGAAGCTAACAACCAAGAGTAAGTTGGACATCCTTTATACAGCGAGAAAGGCTTAACAAATATAGAAATGTAAGTATTCAACATGCAAACCCACTATAATACGACCCAACTCTGAAGCAGTTGTTGCAAAAATGGAGATAGAAAAAAAAATCAGATTACTTCATCTACTGTGAGTATATACCCAGTTCTTTGCAAAAAAATTACAAATGTAGAATAATACACAAACCAAACAAGTTAAATGGGAGATCTCAAAAAGTGGTGATAAGACCAAACAAACATGTTTTACAAGGACACGTTTGGGGGTGGATGCATGTTGATGTGATGGAAATGACTGCATAGTGAGTGAGTTGTCAGACAGACGTTATTAAAATCAAAACCAGTAATTATCTGAAAGCATATGCAAATTACATAAAATCAGCCTCTTCACCACCCAGTGAAAATGTTTAATGCCATTTTTAGTACAGATATTAAGTCTACACTGGCCCCTTGTGGAGATTGCAAAGCATACATTAACAATATAGTTAATTGGTAACTGATTTCCTGCATTAAACAGGAAAATAATAGCCTACACTCAACATCATTTCTGTGTTCAATCTTGGGGAACTACATTCTGTTTCTAGTTTGTGCAGCTTCTGCTGAGAAGGTCTCCTCTCTCACTGTCTGGTGGTGGTAGATGGGGAGGGGGAATCTATCAAATAGCTCACTTCTATCTCTGTACAGAACTAATGCAATTAGTAGATAAACTAACCCGTAAAGTTGGAAAAGATTTTGATAGTGTCATAGTCTTGCGCTGCTTCATTCCATGTGAGAGTCTATTGAAAACAGAGCGTGGATGTAAATAAACAAAATACTACTGTAAATATTTTAACTCGTTTCAATCAAGAGAACGTGAATAAAGTTCAACTAAAATAATTCTGTGCGAAAATGTGCGTGGAATCCACAGTTTTATACATTTTTTGGTGCGTTTGCATCTTTCCAGTTTCGTGCCACTTTTCAGTGTGAATTCTAGGCAAGGCTTTGGTACATGAGGCCCCAGGTATCCTCCTCTGTCAGCTGATCCACACCTGCTGCAGGTTAGTCACGCTCAGAGTCTTAGAGTCAATTATCGCTGAAGCTGGTCCAGAGAGTAAGGACGCCGACCTTCAACCCAGAGGCGTAGGATCGAATCTGGGCTCCGACGAACTGAGGTACATTACACAAGTGTGGGTGTGTGCGTGTGTGTGAAAACAAACAACAAAAACAATAATAACAAAAACTTCAAAAACTGTGCTCAAACAAACAAACAAACAAAACAATCAATAAAACTTTCAAACGCTGCGTTCACGAAACTCGTCGCGTCGATTTGTCCGTGCGTATTTCCGAATTTCCGCGATTTCCACCGGAAACCAACGAGGAAGGAACAGAACAGGTAAAGTATGGTAAGCAAGGTAAACGCCTGGGGTCCAGCTAGCTGGAGCGGCGTTTTAGCTGCTTTTGTTTCCAGTTGACATCATCTGAGTTTCTGATATGGAAGACTAATTTAATATTATTAGGCTATTATTATTATTATTATCTTCACCTGTCCTCAGCCAATGGCTGATTTTGATATGGGCAACATGGGCAACATGGGCAGCACCTTGTCTGGGGGCGGCATGGGGGCTTGCAGAAAAAACAAAACAAAACAAATCAAAAAACATTTGGCGATGGGTTTTCTATGCTCATTGCACATTACGTCAATGACTTCATGTCTGTTGGAGCTTCTATTTATGATGGTATATAATTGGTATTTATCGTTTATTTAGTTTAAAAAAGTTATGATAATTTGTTACAAGAATATTTTCAGGAATATTTTAGCAGATTAACAGGAATATTATCAGAATACTTAAGAATTTAATTGAGATATTTTCAGAAATATCTTGCAGGTTTGTTTTTAGGAATCTATAATAATATATATATTTATTAAACAAATTATCATAACTTTATGATATATATATATATATATAAAGCATATATATGTTTTTTATATATATAAGTTTTTAAAAGTTATGATAATCTGTTGGGGCTGAAGGGGGGTATTTGCCCAGGGCACCACACAAGCTAGAACCACCACTGACTGCAAAAGGCAAGTTTTATCATTGGTTTATGAAGAGAAAGGTAGACATCCAAATGAAACAGAATATCAGTGGAAATTAAGGATTGCTGTATGTTCCTGGTGGGGAGAGAGAGAGGAGGGCCGAGCAGGGCCTCAATGACATCTCCACACATGTCAGCGCAGCACATTGGACAGCACAGCCCTGCCCTCAGAACCAAAGCACAAGATCAACAAGGGCAAAGCTGTTTTCTCTTTGCCCCCAACAGCAACCTGTTGTCCTTTAACGAAGGACAGTCCTCCCTCAAAACGTTGAACTGTTTTGCAAGTGCCCTCTCCAAAGGATCCATCACATCTTCTCATCTGATACTCTAGTCTTTGGATCTAAGTCTTTCCTCCACTCAACCATGACCGCTTCAGTCCTCTCCAACCTTGGGTTTATCCGCTCTCTGAATGGCCTACTTCTGGTGTTGACTGGTTTGAGCTTGAGCAGTCCCATCAGGTCTCCTGAGAACCATCACAGGGCATCAGTCGGGAGGGATGTAGGTGATAATCCGCTTCTTGATGCGCAGGACTTTCTGAGCCAATTTCTGTCCACACTGAACCTCACAGAGCTGGGGCCCCAGCCCAGGCCCCTCGCTGCCAGTAAGGAGCCACCAGAGTACATGTTGGAGCTGTTCAACCGATTTGCCAATGACCGCACTTCTGGGCCCTCAGCCAACATGGTGCGCAGCTTCAAGAATGAAGGTACAAACTTGTTTTGTTTAACACCACAAAAATCTTGTAAAAGGTAGGCTGTACACTGCATGAGGAAATGTTGCACTTTTTGTTTCATTGCAAAAGAAATAACCAAAAGACAATTAAAAGATAACGTCAAATGTGTCAAAAAGCTTAAATGATCATCTTTTTCTTTTCTTTTTTTAAATAGTTTAATCATTTATAAAACTGGACTCCTCTGATTTATGCAAATCAAAGTGATGTAAATGTGAAAGAGTTATATGTTTTACTTAAAATTATAAAGTTATTCAGCTTTAACAATGTATGAGTAATATGATTCAAACAAACAAAATACATTTATTATGGCAACTGTGTGTTTGATTCAAGGGCACATTTTAATATTCAACATAGTTTAACTTGAGTTTTGATCTCAGAAATGCATACAAAACGCATTGAGACACATTTATTGATATTTTAATTTCAGATTCCTCCCCCTACAGTGTAACTGCCAGGGGTGTAAGGATACATCCCCTGCTCTTCAACATCTCCATGCCCCACCATGAGCACATAACAATAGCTGAGCTTCGCCTTTTCACCCTGGTCCGGAGGGCCCAAAGACTATACTCTGGCCTTGACTGCAAGGTGACCATTTACAATATACATGAGGGCGTTGTTTGGACAAAAGAGGAGGGGAAAGAAGGGAGAAGGAGGGATAGAGAGGAGGTGGTGGAGATAAGGGATCTGGAGGAACTGGTGACAAAGCATATTCATGCCAAAGATAACAGCTGGGTGTCGTTTGACCTGACTCATGTGGTTACGCTCTGGCGGAAATCAGGGTGTGCAACTCACAGACTGGAGGTTCACATTGACTCCCTGGGGTCAGAGGAGGAAGGGGCCACACAAGAGTTCACAGAGGAGGGCGAAAGTTTGGTTGAGATTGATGTCGACAGGAGCTTGGAGGGAAAACACAATGCAGTGATGATTGTATTCTCAGATGATCAGAGCAGAGACCACAAACAGGATAAACAAGAGCTCAACCACATGATTGAACATGAGAATGACCTTCCTGAAAACATGGGCCGGAGCCAACAAGCTTTCTGGGGGCACGTTGATCACAACGCTGGCCATGCTAACCAGGACGAGCTGGACAAACAGTCCCTCATGCAACTGCAGTCCAACCTTATCTATGACACACCCCCCCGAATCCGTCGCAATGTTAAGAGCGAGCCATGCAAGAGGACCCCACTCTTTGTGGATTTTAAAGACATTGGCTGGGATACGTGGATCATCCAGCCTCTGGGCTATGAGGCGTACGAGTGCAACGGCGTGTGCAACCCACCTATGACCTCCGAGGTCTCGCCTACCAAACACGCCATAGTGCAGACTCTGCTGAGTGTTAAGAGTCCAGAGAGAGCATCGCGTGCCTGCTGTGTGCCCACTAAGTTGGAGCCGATCTCACTCCTTTATCATGATAATGGGGTGATCACTTTCAACCACAAGTATGAGGGGATGGTGGTGGCAGAGTGTGGATGCAGATAGTCCTGAAAGTGATGCTGTTACACAGAGATAGAGACTGCACATCGCACACATCCTCTCATGTGCTTGTTTCCACAATATCTCATACAGTGGCATGTAAAACCACAAGTCTGGACTTAGTTGTAAATTAGTGATGGACACAAATTTGTGCTACATGATGTAAATTTGCAATTGTATAAAGGTAAATCAGTTATTATAATGTAGAATATAAAGCTTTCAAAGTAATGCTGCAAATCTTTTTAGACAGTTAGACAGCAATTTTTGTATATTAGAGTATTTCTGGATAAGTTCAATAATTTATTGTGAATGACAGTAACAGACCATACATCAGACAAAAACAAAACAAAAAAACATCCTGATAAAATAGCTGTTCAGCCAGTCTCAGATGAAGTGAGGAGCGACTCAAAAGTTTAAATATTGCAGCACTGATCTCTGTTACAATAACATAATTTGGAAATATGCATGTGAGATCTGTATTATTACAAAAGATGCACCCATGAGTGTCGGGTTTTCGAGGTGCAGAATCTGACAAAAGTGAGGTTTGTGTTATTTCAGTGTGGGTGCGGTAACTGAATATACAGTACTAAATAGACTAAGAAGTCAGCTACATTTTGTTCTAACAAGAATTATCCCTAATGCTGACGTTGAGAGGCCCCCAGCTTAAAATCTACATTTTAGGATAGCCACCATATTATAATGATTTGCACTACTGTTAGTATGCTGTACGTTTATTTTCTTTTGTTTTTAAACATGAAAAGTCTCTTAAATTCAATTGTAATTGAATCACAGTCTTGCCAAAACGCATTACAACTAGCTATATATGCTGCAGATTTGTAAATGCTATCATTTGTTTCTGTGTCCTATGGCATGTTGGAGCCACTGAGATGATTTAAAGACTGTGACATTTTTCCTCTTATTGTCTTGCCAAACTTGCAGAAAATATATTTTTGATGGATTACAACCAGGAGAGGACTGTCTTGTCTTGAAGCTTTTCATGGCTTCTTGTCTGAAAATGCACAATTTCTCTTACCTAACATTGCTGTCAGCTGCTGTGAGATCTGTCTTTATACCCTCCATTCATATCCTGCTTTTGGTTCTCACACCAACATTAATGTTATTATGGGTGTAAAAATAAAAATATCTGAAAACAAAAATATTCACTGAGCAGTTTTTGATCATTAGTAGACCCTGTTTCATTGTCAGGTGATCACAGCACTACCCACCTAACAACCTTAATCCCCATCCCTTTAGGGTCACATGCCTGGCGGGCCTCTCTCTCTGCCCGCTTCCATGCCACAGTGATAAGGAGGTGTCAGAGCCTGGCGTCTCGTAGACCGTCACTCAGGATGAGACACCACTCCAAGTGGCAGCATTTGTGAGAAGGTGGTGTCAGATTCCTGGTCTCCAACACCAACATGCTCTATTGACAATCCTGCCATCAGGTTGCTCGGTGCCCTCTGAACCCTCCCACTTCCTTTTTCTGACACGGGCATGCTGACACCCTTATCAAGGCCACGGCAACAGTACAAATGGAAAAAATACATGTCACATCATCACCTTGCTTCTGCTGTTAACAGGTGGAAGCAGATAACAATAATGGAATAACACCGTGGAACTTTCTGACTTAATAGGATCCTCACTCGGCATGCAGATTTACATAGGCCAAGTGTGCAGGGCAGAGATACCGGCTGGCAGGGAACAAATTGATCTTCCAGTGTAAAAAAATGAAATAAAATTTCAATATGTAGGAAATATTCCAAGTGTGTAACCATACAGCAATACTTATTTTGAAAAGTGGTCCTGACAATAGCTTGTTGCTGCTTTAGTTTAAGGCCAAGCCAGGTCCAAGTCTGACGTTATAAACAACTGTGTTCACTGTAGTAGTAGACACGGTTGACAAGGTGGTTGGTATTGCAGTGCAACCAACCCACATGTAGATCATGTTTGGCTTATCAGAGACACTGACCACTTTGAGGGTGCCACGAATACTTGTTTGTGTCTTTATAACAGCAGAGATGACTTTACTACAACATTGAAAACATCAGAACCAGCTTCAGTTCAGCACTAGCTAAATTATTTATCAGTATATTGAAATAATCAGGTTTTCTCTGAAGGACAAATCGCTTGTCTAGAACTCCAAAACAATTGAATAACAACTCTCATTCTTCATCAGACAGCTGTAGGACGATTGGTCTAAAGTAGCTAATTCATGTACTTTTCTTTTGATTCTCTGTTTTTTTTGCCAATACATTCACTATGTGTTCTTGTGGTTTCATCCTACAAAACATTTAAGTAAATTATAAATATATATTTATGTTTATTTTTGTAAAACATTGTAAATTGGACAGTTTGCTTTATGATATACATGAACCATTTTGACCTGAACCTAAAGTTCATGTACATACATTTCACACTAAATATCTCAAATAACATAAATGTGTACCAACACAGTATGATATATGTTATTTCTTCAAAGGTTCACCACAATGATGGATATTTTACCTGTCGAGAAAAAGATTAGGGATAAATTTACACATCATTTGTAGTTCCATCTAACTTAACAACATGGAAAAGGGATTCGCTACTGTGTCAACAACACTTTTGAGCAGGTTTATGTGAAGGCAGCTTTATTCATCACTCTCAAGCAATAAAGTCAATGTTATTCATGGGTCATGGGTTGCCAACTTTAAGCTTTAAACACATGGCTCATCTCAGTGGAAGATATGGACAGAGTTTTGGACGGGGAACTGTTGTCATTACTGAAATGACACACTATATCACAGTATAACCACAAGAGGGAGACTTTTGATTAAAGTAGAAATCATCACACTACAAAAGAAAACAGTTAACAGTTTAACAAGTAAAGGCTTTCTTAGAGATTGTTTAGAGAGAAAAACAGATGTTTGCTTTATCAGTGATTTGTAATCAGCTTGAGCATAATGTTTATCAGAAGGAGTTTAATTCCACTACTCCACAGATGGTGGTTTTGTGACACTATAATAACTCTGACTCTTTATAGGGTATGTGTACACTTTTTCACAGCTGTTAATTTACTGCAATTTCATAATCATTTGATTATACATTACTGAGAATATACCAGTACACATTCCTATTAGTGGAGAGTAGCAGGAGACGGTGGGGTGATTGTGTGTCACTGGATGTGTTGGCCAATGCAATGGCGGATAGATAGATAGATAGATAGATAGATAGATAGATACGCTCGCAAAGAAAAAAATAGTTACATTTGCACATCTCATCAGTGACATCGTGTCACCATGTGGATTATATCCATAAGTGGTAATTACAGTTTGAGCACACATGAAAGACTGAGCAACATGCTCAAATAGTGAAATACAAGGCAAGACATTTTTGTCTTTACTGGGAAGTCTTGGCTTTTAAAGACACCTTGGATCCAGTGTGAGGGTGAGAAACACGTGTGTATGTGTGTGTTTTATTTAAGGCTGAGAAGAATGGACCTGAGGTTAAGGCAGAGGAAAGTGTGTATGTGTGGTTGGTTTTGTGATAAAGCTATTGTGTCTGATGGTGGAGATAGGACAGCTCAAACAGACGACGGTTCTTCCTGATGCTAGAATACTATATACATAGTTTTTAAAAGTTATGATAATTTGTTTGATAAAAAGTTACAGTTTGTGCAGAATAGTGTGTCTTTAGTTGTAGCTGGGGCGGGGGGGCAAAAGGGGGTATTTGCCCAGGGCACCATTCAAACCAGAACCGCCACTGGGCCAATGTATTTATATTTGTTTGAGGTAACTGACCTTGTTGTCTTCTCAGTTCTAGGTCAAACATCCAGAAAATGGAACATATTTGAAAGTTAAAGTTAATGATGTCATAAAATTAATATTGGCTGAAATCAAAAAACTGCTTCAGTTTGAGGGTGCTGGTATTGTGCATGCTCACTGTCACATTGCCATGGCTTACTGGTACACTTGGATAGAACAGAGCCATTGTTAATGTTATTAGTAATGTCATCATTGACATTACTAACTAATTATTAACATGTTATTGTAAATGGGCCTGGGGTAGAGAAGAGCTGTTGCACAGTTTGTCCTACCACAGCTGTTTGTCCTACCCATGTCACTCACCAGGTCGATATCACACAGCTTCACTTGGAAGCTTCCAGCCCAGGAAACCAACCATTGCTGGTAATATCACCAGATTTTGATTCAGGGCCTCTCTGCAAAACAGGGACTTAAGATGAGGTAATGGTATAGGACCAGCCTTTTAGGCCCCTAACACGTCAACATGCTTTATACCATACAAACCAATTGTTACACAGTCAGTCTGGGTCTGGTGCAACTGAACAGTTACCCACTTTGCTCAGTTGGTAATCCCAGTCCAATTGGCCATTATTAATTGGAATGAAGACATTTTGATTGTTGGACTTAACTGTTGACTACTGAGGTGGAAAAACAGTTTTCAGGAATGGAACATCTGGTGCAGTGGACCCTCAAATTAGCACATATGCACAGTATCCCAGAGGGCAGTGAGACAAATACTCAAAACAAATTAATTATTGATTATATTAGTAAAATATTTGTCGCTCTAAAATTCCCTATGTTGGCATAGGCTTGCAAACAGTAGGTATTTTTGAGGTGTTTTCAACAAATAGGAAAATAAACAGCAGCGCCACGCCTGTCACATTTCACGCGTGCATGCGCAGTTTGAGAGTGGTGGGTGGAGAGGAATTTTTTGTTTATTTTCGTGGCCAGCTAACCTGTAAACGTGTTGTTGTTAGCCTAAATATTTTTTGTTACAGTGAAGTGTAATAGAGTGAATAGTTAAACGACTGCGCATTTAATTGAGTATGATATCCTAACATTTCGTGAGGTAGCGGATTTGGGGCATCATAGAAAAAGATTAGCCAGCGAGCTAGCGTGAAGTTGATGAATGTCCCTTAGCGTTAGCTGTTAGCGTATGTGCTAGCAAGCTAGTTAACGCTGCACAGCGCATCAAAATCTCGGTACCTAAAGCCACTCATTTATCATCTCCAACCACCCGGACCACCGCAGCAGCGCGGAGAAATCACGGTAAGTCCACAAATCAGTTTGTGCGTGGTGCTGATTATGTGAGGAGACGAATGCTTTCCAAACCAGTGTTAGCCAGTGCTATGGTACCCAGTGATGGCTAACACCAACATTAGCTGGGTAATGGCAGCTTACAATTGTACTTTTACTAAACATATATATTAATTTGTAGGAATAGTCTTAAATAATAACTGAACAGTATACTCTAAGTCATGCTGGGTTGCATACTACTGAGGCATTGTGTGGAAGGGTATCGCTACCTGTGTTTACTAGCTTTGGTACCCATCAGGGCTAGCGTTAGCTGTGAAAATGCTCTTAAATACCTAATATTAACCTAGCAAACATTTCATCTTAATATATTAGACGTACTGTAAAAAATAAGAAAACGCCATTTCCGTACCATGAGAATGTTTCGTTTTGCATTTCAGACAAGATATAATGGCCATATTTGCAGATGAACGACCTGTGAGAGGTTCTGCATGCATGAATGTGAGCTTTTAATGCAGTGGTTACACTTGAATCAGAAGTTATTGTTGTTGTAAACATATGTAACAGTAAGCTAGGTATATTCACACACTATTAAACTGAAGATGCCCAGACAAACCTAAAATAATTCTCTGTATAGGTTTTGTAATTAACCTACTAACTGTAGCCAGGGGCTGGGGTGGTGTTTTGCTGTCATCTTTACAAACCTTTAAGGGGTTTTAATGGTTCAGTAGATTGACTTCAAAGAGGGTTGAACTTGTAAATCAGTTCTTCCTTCACCTAAGAGTGCCACTTTATGCAATGTGAAATTTTGGTTGGCATACCCATCTGAATCCTGTCATAAGACACTGCTCTTTCTGTCTTAGGTTGTTAAAGGTTGGCAGCAGTTGATCATCAATAATTTCACCTTGTCACCTCTACTGGTAAAGGCATAGAGCATACAACTGGAAAGCCTCCCCAAGGTTGAAACCTAAGGAGCAAGATGTCAATCACAAACACTCCCACAAGTAATGATGCCTGCCTGAGCATTGTGCATAGCTTGATGTGCCACCGACAGGGAGGAGAGAGTGAAAGCTTTGCTAAACGTGCGATTGAGAGTCTTGTCAAGAAGCTGAAGGAGAAGAAAGATGAGCTGGATTCCCTTATCACAGCCATCACTACAAATGGAGCACATCCAAGCAAGTGTGTAACCATACAGCGAACTTTGGATGGTCGCCTACAGGTACAGTAGCAGATATACAGTGTCAAGTTAGTTTAGTGATGCACTCCTGTAGTTATAAGAGAAAATTGTGAGAGACTCCACAGAAACACTGCCTATCTCATTAGATGTTCTTCTCTGTGCTTTAGGTTGCAGGGCGTAAAGGTTTTCCCCATGTTGTCTATGCAAGACTGTGGCGATGGCCTGATCTACACAAGAATGAATTAAAACATGTGAAATATTGCCAATATGCCTTTGACCTGAAATGTGACAATGTTTGTGTCAACCCATACCACTACGAAAGGGTTGTCTCTCCAGGCATTGGTAAGTGAGAATCACATGTTTGTTAGTCTCATTTTTTAAGGTTATTGATGAATGTAGAATGTTATTACAGGGGATACAAGTTGGTGAATTTTCAACACGATTTAACTCCTACAAATTAAGGATTTTTAAACAACAGTTGAACTGATTACCTGTATTTGGAATTTTATATCTTAAATGCATTGCTTTTTTAAAATTTTTTTAGTTATTATCATCTTTTAATATTTGCTTTATTCATCTGCACATTTCTCAGCACATTTAGTCATTATTAGAACTGCACTCCTGGTACTGGATATTCCCAGTGATAATTAAGTTAGAAGATGCAGTTAGTTGAAAAAAATACAGCCCGTGTTCTAATTCTTACTCTTCTTAGGAATGTTAACCTACATAAATTCATTGTTAATGTTTTTGCAGATTTGTCAGGACTGACCCTTTCAAGTTCAGGTAAGGAGGTGTCAAAGTTTTCCACTTTGCTCATTGAAGATTTTGTGAAAGTCCATCAGTCTTAACCATACTTGTCGTCTTCTGCTAGGTCCACTCTTGGTAAAGGATGAATATGACTATGATAACCAGCAATCTCACTCCAGCTCTGAAAGCCACCTGCAGACTATCCAGCATCCACCATCAAGGCCTGGTCCACAAGAGGCCTTCAGCAGCCCAGCTCTACTCCCTCCGACGGAGGGAAGTAGTTCAGCTTCAACCTCTGCGTTTTCTACCATCAGTGCTGGACCCTCAAGTGAGACACAACACAATGACTATACATGTCAAAATATTTGAAAGAATTACTTTTTTTTTTCCAGTCAAAATTAAATTAATTAAATTAAATTAAATTAATGTGATTATATGACAATCATTCTCTAAAAGTTTTAATTTTGATTCATTGTACATGTAGGTTTACGTTATTTTAAAACATAACTTTTTACGAGGGGGTTAACTGTCGCCAACAAAATTTCAGTTTGGCAAAGTTACTATTAATGCAGTAAAAAATTATGTTTTGTATTTAGCTTGAAAATTGGATCTAAAACACAGACTTCAGGTTGGCACAGATTTGGCAACACAGCTGTTTTGAATTTATATTTACAGATCCTACCCCCAACTGGAGCAGGAGCAGCAGCTTCACCCCCACGGTGCCTCAACACCAGAATGGGCATCTACAGCATCATCCACCCATGCCGCACACAGGGCATTACTGTGAGTGGATGGAAACATAAATACATTCTGTAAAAATTCTCGCATCAAACTTGATAAATAGCACATATCATTTCAGAGAACTGACAGGTGTGAACATCTGTTTAATTCATGAGTATAGATCCTTTTTCAAGTCAGTGGAGATAATGTACTTTGACTTCTGGCTGGAGGACATTATTAACCTCTAGGAAGGCACAGAGCCGTTAGTTTACCAGCGATTCAAGGACAAGTAAGCTCAGATGTAGACTGATTTATTGAAGACATCTGTATTTGCACCTTGAATGTTGGAACATCCTGAGGTGATTTACGTCTCAAAGAAATCGTGTGTAAATGTTGTAAAAAAAAGTGTAAAAGTGAAAGCAGCAGCACCAAGACATCGATTGTGTTAATCAAAATAGTTTTTCCCAGCACACTTTGTTGCATTTGTTAACATTTTTTACTAAATTGTACATTTATGAATATGAGGCAGATTGTGTTACAGGGATTGAAATTAAGATCTGCTATAGCTACTAAACATCACTATCCACCTCTTAAACTTCATGAAAGCTAGTCATTTTCAGCATCATTGCTGTATGATCTGTGCTAATTTCTGAATGATATATCACATCTTAAGACCTGGTGTGGTTTCAGAGCTGCTTTTTCAAAATGAATATTGAAGTTATCTTGCAGGGCCTGTTACCAATGAAATTGCGTTCCAGCCCCCCATATCCAATCACCCTGGTGAGTATCGAGCTGCAGATGGAGGACAGTCCACATATTAATCCTTTGTGTGTCATAAAACTGTAACTGTAATCAGTGCAACCGATTTTGACCTGAGGCTTCTTATTGGTTTTCTCCAGCTCCAGAATACTGGTGCTCCATTGCTTACTTTGAGATGGATGTCCAGGTTGGGGAGACGTTTAAGGTGCCATCCACATGTCCGATAGTGACTGTGGATGGCTATGTGGATCCATCAGGAGGGGATCGCTTCTGCCTGGGCCAGCTGAGCAATGTTCACAGGACAGAGAACATAGAAAGAGCCAGGTACTCCACCTCATATTTGGAAGTTCTGTGTATGATCATACAGTTCGTTCAAGCAGACAACATTTAATGTTTGTCTCTAGCCATGATAAGTGAATGACAGTAATGCAAAGTGTGTGTAATGTCTCATTTCTCTGACTCTGTTTGCAACTGCCCCCCCCCCCTTCTCTCTGAACTCAGGCTCCACATTGGTAAAGGTGTGCAGCTGGAGTGCAAAGGTGAAGGAGATGTCTGGGTGCGCTGTTTGAGTGATCATGCAGTGTTTGTTCAGAGCTATTATTTGGATCGAGAGGCTGGACGTGCTCCTGGAGATGCAGTACACAAGATCTACCCCAGCGCTTACATCAAGGTAAGATTGCATTAACATGCTCATACAATGAAAAGCAGAAACATTCCAAGTAGTGCTCTTGGCCCTGACTATATTTGCATGCACATGAATAACTGACTCAATGCAATTAAGGCTTTAATCTGAGTAAGGTGGAGCCACTGTAAAAGTCATACTCCTGTGTTAATGCAGTTAAGCTCAGGGTTGGAGTAACCGTAATTGCAGTAAAACGTGTGGAGCATCCTCTTTTCTGTTGTATTATTGAAGGAAATTTTAACATATATACATGTTAATCAAACTATGAACCTGGCATGTTCAAAATAACATTAAACATCACAATATTAGTAGACAGTCAAATGGTTGAGTGTTCATTCAATATCTTGTCTTGTCCCCTGCCAGGTGTTTGACTTGCGTCAGTGCCACAGGCAGATGCAGCAGCAGGCGGCAACAGCTCAGGCAGCAGCTGCAGCTCAGGCAGCAGCGGTGGCTGGGAACATTCCTGGACCTGGATCTGTGGGAGGCATCGCCCCAGCCATCAGTGAGTATTCTAACTGCTGCACTTACCCTTAGGCAAGTGTGTTATTATGATTGCTTCTTAGCATCATCCTGTTTGGACATTTGGGCATCAGACTAATATCAGGGACTTTCTTATGGCACTGCAATGCACAGCGTTGTGAACAAGAGAATTGTAGATCAGCATGAATAGAAGAAAAGCAACCAGCAGTGTTGATAAAGCATAATGGATGGATATTCAGTCATCATATCTTCACTAAATTAGCCTAATTTCATTCATTTCAGATTACCCTTGCTTTAGGCAAGATGGCTTGTGCAGCTGCATTATGTAGGAAAATATAAATACTGGGTCAGGATGTCGGACATATATTCAATATAAAATGACTAAGCATATTTTGTACTGCAAAATCCGGCTAAAGGGCTGGATATAGTCCAAAATGCACCCAGACCCAGATGCTGAAAGTGTAACTTGGCCATTACACTGCATTTCTTGTTTTAAGTTCTTTCTGTAAACAAACTTTCTTTGAATAAACACATTAACACTGGNTATTTCTCTTTGGTGTTGGAGGGTTTCTTGGAATTGTGAGATGTGTGATCACAGATGACTGAATGATCAACCAACAAACCTTTCATAGTGTGTTGATATTGAAATATATTTATTCACTTAAGTCATGGTAGTACAAATTAACAGCTGAGGTGGAGGGATTGTGACTATATGTTGCAGCTGCCTCATTTCTTGTTTTAAGTTCTTGCTGTAAACAAACTTTCTTTGAATAAACACATTAACACTGGTAGTATTTTAAGTATTTCAAGCTTCTTTACAAAATGGTTATAGCATTGGTATGCTTAGCATTGACAATTAAGTTTTAGATGATGAAATACATTTTCACATAGCTAACATCATTATGGGCCAACATTTACAGTAAGTCTGTTCTATGGATTTTAGCTCAAATGCAGTAAAATGTGTGGGAGATGTGCATATAGCAGTAGTACTTTTTCTGCTTAGTCATGTATCTGCCTGATATATGTACCAACTTTTACTACAACAGTAACTTAGCTAACTCTGCTGTGGGCTGTGGGTTGGCCTATAGTGCCACATTGATCTAAAAGTTGCTGCCTGTAACTCCCCTGCAGGTTTGTCTGCTGCTGCAGGCATCGGGGTTGATGACCTGCGCAGGCTGTGCATCCTGCGGATGAGCTTCGTGAAAGGCTGGGGGCCCGACTACCCACGGCAAAGCATTAAAGAAACGCCCTGCTGGATTGAAATCCATTTACACCGAGCTCTACAGCTACTGGATGAAGTTCTGCACACCATGCCCATAGCTGACCCTCAACCTCTTGACTGAGTTGAAAGACATTAATTGTACAAAACAAACAAAGAAAAACAATAAAAAATCAGACTGTACGTTTAACAGTCTGCTCCACCAATACGCCTGGAGCGCCAAAGGAGGACTGCAACTACAGGGATGCTGAGTAGGTTGTAGGGGTAGGAACAATGACATAAAGGCTGGCAGTATACTCCAAACACACCGCTTTCATATCCAGTGCAGAGACTCCAGGTCTGTAAGTTCAGTGACTTCCAAGCAACAGCTGGAGGAACATGTGAGTCACACTGGGAGGAGTTGTAGCACAGTGGAAAAATGCGGCCAAGAGGATGCACATATTGAAGGAAGCCAGTATTCTGACATTGTTCATCAATTGGAACTGCATAACAGCATGAAGTGATCAAGGCTGCATGTCTCTCAAATCTCAAGTTTGATATAAAAATAATCTCACACTGATGTGTGAGGGTAAGGAATGTGTCCACACTGTGATAAAAAGATTCAAAAAGCTCATGAATAATTTAATAAGGTTTAGTGCTGAACAAAACAAATTCAAAGAGAGTGTAGGGTGTCAAACAGGAAATGATTCATGCTTCACCATACTGTTTTTTTTTAATGTGGACATTTCTGTAGATTTTAAGATGCTTGGAGCCCTCCTTGTAACTGATTGACAAAATTTCTTTTTGAGCTATTTAGTGAGCAAAGTATTTGGCTTAAAAACAGTTGAGCTGAACACATTGTGGCGCCTCATTCTGTCTGAACATATTAAATGTGATTTCAGTTGGAGTATACTGCTGGTCCAGTCCTCCTCCAATGGCTCTCCGGTGCTGATATGGCTTCATGTAAGTGGAGTTTTTTTTCTCCCCTCACAGATCAGGATATTTATGTGAAATCATGTTATTCATTACTCATTTTCTTGTAAGGTGTAATCTGAAATATTTTTCAGTCCTTGATGTTTTTTGATTTATATTCCCCTTTTGAATAGTTGTTTCTAAAGATGTAAAGAGAATTTAAATAAGCCCATTTTAGCTGAGCTCAGCTTCTCTTTATAGAACTGTTCTGTTATTCTACCACCAGTCAAGGCTGTTATGACACTGAGAAGTGATGTTTTCTACTGAAGTTTTTCAAACCCCAAATTTAATTGAAATTATGAAAAAAATGTCAAAAGAAAATGTTATTATAATACATCTGTGTAATATTATTTGTAATTGTCATTTTTTGATTAGATGCCCATATAGTGTCCATTAGCACTTTATTAATTTGCTTGAGTATTTTGTCTTGTTTCATAGTCTCATGTGTGGTTACTTGTTGTATCCATATAATATCTTAGCATAGTTTAAAAGTTATTCTTGCTAATGACCTTGGTGAGACCCATGAAAGATGTAGTTCAAAGTGTTGTCTGCCCAGAATCTATATTTTCAGTATCAAACATTCACAGCAGGTTTGAAAGGTTATTTCACGATCATTATTTGGAACACGTTGTGGTTGTGGTGTAGGAGTGGTTTATGAAATATGAAATCTTGCCTATTTTGGATGAAATGAAAACCACCTGTCAAACCTACAGGCAGTGAATATTTGATACTCAAAAGATACATTTGGGTGGAGCATCACTTTTAAGTTAGCTCACCTCCACCCATTTTAATTTGAGTATTACTTGTATGACTTAACATAGACAACAGCTGAGGAAAGGAAGCGTGGACTGAACTGTGAGAGGAAGCGTAAGCCATATTGATGCCAAAAGTAACCCTCTGAAAAGTGGAAAGGTTATCAGACTGCAGTAATTTCTGTGTTAATGTCACTTCTAAAAGCTTGGTTTTAATTATCAATTGAATGATTTTAGTTTTTGCTCAACACTATTCAAACAATATTTTGGTATTTGGAGCTCTGTTTACCTACAGCTGTTGCAGTATTTTATACTCTTTTTGCTACCTTTACAGTGACGAGCCACTCTGGTCAAAATTGAAAATGATTTAAAGAAAAAAAAAAAAAGAAAAAAAAAAAGAAAGAAAGAAGAATGCTGTACAATTTTCAGGAAATGCAAGTTCATGCTTATCGTAATCTTTACAAGTATGTCATACATTCTGAATACATAACTGAGTTTGAATGATATTGGTGTTTATATGTATGGATATGGTTGAATAAAATTTAATGGGCTAACTATCATTGAGTGTTTTTAATTAGTGTGAGGCGAAACGAAGAGGGAGGACACTGACTTTGAACAAGAGAACGTTTATTACTGCAAAGACATGTCACAAATTTTAAGAAAACAACACTAAGAAGCTAGCCTGAGCTGAGATCTGAAATATTCAGAAAACCAAACTACATGTGTCTTTAATAGTTTCTATATTCATCAATACGACACACTAAATGATAATGTCTTTATAAATATAAAAGTCCCCCAATTGTCCTTGTTTTTTTATGTAAAATACACAATACAAATCACCCTACACGCATTGGTTTGTTTGCCAATTTGAGAAGATATGAAGAAAACTTAACGGCACACAAAAGGAAAGTCACATGAAATTTGTGTGTATATATTATATCGGATACTATACATTATCCCAAAAAGAGAAAATAAATCACAAATGCACTTTAGCCAACATATCTGATAAAATGTTCACCAAAAGAACAAATCAAATAATTAAGACACAAATAAATATACCTTTTCAGTTTTTGATATATACATATTTTTGTCTAGGGTGAATCAAAATAAAAACCTTCCCCAAATGCCACTGCCAAATGCTTGTGCTTGCATTAGAGCGTGCTACAGATGGCCACGACTCACTGGACTGTCAAATGGCACTTGAAAACATCCAAATACAAATCTCAAACAGGTCACAGCATTCAGAAAATATCATTTGACAAAACAAATCACGATCATGAGAAAACAAGTCATAAGAGAGTGTTTTACTTACAGTAACTCCTTGTTCAGTAACCAGTTCTATACAATAAAAAGCTGTTTGCAGGTGATCTACCATGTGTAAACTACTCAGTGTGTGTGTGTGTGTGTCTGTGGTGTCACATCCAGTAAATAATAAATAGTCCAGTCTGAGGACAGGTCTTTATGCTTCCTCAGCCCTGGTGTATTCTCAGTGGCAGCACCTGTGCAATGTAATGTCTGCTCTGATAGCCTCTATCTGTAGCCCACCAGAGACCCAATAGTCACCCAGGCCATCTGCTCTGGCCGGGGCGAAATTAAAGGCACTGGAGTCTGCTATGGGTCAGTGAAGCTGCCATGTTGTCCAGGTGAAGAGGCATTTCCTAGCTTTGCGCTCATATGACAAGTTAAGGAATAGCTTATGTATTTTTTTTTTTTTTTTCCTGGTCAGAAACAGGCTCATTTGCAAACAGCTGTTACAGCAAAAAAAAACAATCCTACTTCTCTATTTCAAAGACACTGAGAAATAAAGTACAATTGTGTTGGCAGCATGAACATCAGTCCAGTGTTAACCAGGCAGGCTTTGAGATGCAGAAAGCTAAATCACTGTGTGGCACGCCAGTCTGTATAAACAAAACCGGGGAGAAAAAACTAACAAACAGTTTCTAGCAGCACATGGTAGGCGTGCAAGACCAGAAAGCACTTATGATCCTAAAGCACAATTAAGATTTAAAGAAAACATTTTTTAAGCATTGTCCACCTCAGGCACAAAATAATACATGTTACCATCTACAGTGTTGTAGTTAATTCATATGACAAAGGAGCTGAGATTCATATATAAAAAAAAAAAAAGAAAAAAAAAAAGGTAATTCAGTGAGAGGCAAGATAATATATCCTGCAAAAACCTTCATTCCTAACCAGTACACACTACCCAGATTTACAACATATTTTAAAATTTTAAGTCACAGACGAACACCATCACTTTTTACAACCGCATTCTCAAAAATTCATTGATTGTTGGAGTCAGTCAAGTGAACTCCTGGGAATGGGTTAGTTCATTTTTCGCATTTAGAATGTGAACACAGATTTATGTGAAGTTCTGCAGAAAGCATAAGAGATGATCTAAGGTTTACGTTTTTGTATCCATTCATCTTGTGCTCTCCCAACTTGCATTTGACAGTTAAATACCAAGAGTCAAGGCGCAATCTCTCATGCAAGTTCATTATGGTCACAGACTGATGTAAACAAAATACCCCCGACCTTTAACTTCCAGCTACCTTAACGTTCACTGACCTTTTCTTACAGACTTTTCAAACTGTCCTTAAGGAATATAATAAGAGAGCCAGATTTGTGTGCACTCAGTTCCTCGATCTGGTAAGTCAGACATCTCAAGCCAGAAGGATCAGGGTAAGGCTACAGTAAGAGATGTGTACCGTAGGTTTAATAAATAAGCAACGTGTCTCTGGGTTTGCCAGAATTTACTTTTCAGATTCCCCAAAGTGTTGCAGAATTAATGAAACTTCTAAACTAAATGACACACAGTATTTGCATTTTCCCACCCTCCTTTACAGCTAAGCATGTTCTCTACGCAGGCACACTGTTCCTGTGTACTGCTAGTATCTAAAGGAATTTTTGGACTAGTGATAGAACCTAAAGGACCGATTACAGCAAATACAGTGCCAACCCTTCTTTAAAAACCTTACTCAACCTACATACATGACTTACAAAGAAAAAAAACAAAAACAACAAAGAAACCTTCCAGTCCGTCTGTACAGTAGGTCTGCTCTTTGCAGTGGTATAATTCATGATTCATTATCAGTTCCCATTGTAACATATGCATCTAAAGCAAAAACAAAAACACAATAAATATCAATAAATAAACATTTATGCAGAGAAATGGTGCAGACCATTTCAACAGGCATGAAAAACAAGAACCAAAATTATTTTAGTAGCAAAATGTTCCTATTTAGAGGATTAATCTCAATATTCTCCACAACATAGAAGGCTGTAACAGTTCAAGTATAGATGTAAGTCTAATGAACCAAAAGTGAGTCCCCATGCCTTTCCCATTTCACAGTCTAAAATAACTACAGAGGAGCTACCAAAAGAAACAATCACATATAAACAATCAGATCAACCACATAAAAAGCAACAAATATATGTAGTGTATCATCATTATATATACTATACATATATATCTATATATCTCTTTGAATATCAGAAAATATCTACTTTTGGTCCACTGTACAAAGATGATCTTTAAACAGGGAACAAAGGATGAAGCATTTTATGGGCTAAAAACTGAAATCACAATGTATCAGAGGTGAGAGAAAAGCAATGCAGATTTTCTCTATCGCGTTGAGATTTGTGCAGTACAGTGGTGTGTGTGCAATAAGTGTTTGGTGACTGTTCTGCACGCGTCAAATGCTGGCACCACTGGTTTGAGGTAGGGTGACTGATGGATGTGTTCCAACACATACACACGAGCATGCAGACACACAGGCGTATATACAAACACAGTGCAGACCTACGCATCCATGTTCCCACGCACACACACATTCACACACACATACACTTCACCCAATAACAAAGGCTAATGCAAGAATAGGCCTCAGGAGGGCAGAGTTAGGGCAGGGGCAAGGCTAAAGACCATGATTCAGATAAGTAATAAGCTTAGTAGAGCTGATCCAGAGAAAACAACAGGTGTGTCTGTGCCTGCATTCCTTGGTCTCAACACTGATGAGCCAGCCCAAATCCAGCCACAAGTCACCAGAAAGCCAAATCTGTGGCTGGGACAATGCAGAGGGGCTGTGGGCTCTCTTCACCACACAGTCAGGACTACAAGGACAGCTGCATTTAAGGATAAGGCACTATGATAAAGCCGAGGTACATTTAATCCCTGACATTCCTTCTGCTCTGCAACATGGCACTGTGGGACAGGAAACAGCTCTCGGGCGGCCCAAATGGCTCACTCTCAGCTTCCTCTTGTTGGTTTGTTTTTGGTCCTTCGTGAACTTAAGAAATTTCTTTAAGAAAGAAACTGCAAAACCGGGGGAAACATGTTCAGTAAGTTGTTTTCAAGATTACAGCTCATCACATAAACCACTACAGAGCATCTAAAATGAACAAAGGCAAGCGTTATGCACGGAGTGCATAGAAAAGCTAGCATTGAGGAAGTAGTTTTGTACAGCCGGTCTTCCCAATCTCTATATACACGAGTAGCAGCGTGATATTTCTTTAGGGGTTTCTTTTTCTGTGGCTAAAAGCTATAAGTGGTTATCGGTGGGTGGCTACCAAACAGACAAAACTGCCCCATGATCCTTTTTTTTTTTTTTTAAATGTCATACATACATAGAAAGTCATCCCTTTGTTTTTTAGCTACATACAATACTCAAAAATATTTTGTTCAGCCAAAAGTTAATCAGCAATTGGAATGCATGTTGACAGAAATCATATTAAAATTAGGAGGGATAACTAGAAATTAAATCAAAACACAATGATAGCACCATGAGTTTTGGGTAATACCAATTGAAAGTACAGCAAAACTATGTACAATAGGCAAAAGTCTTGAGTAGATCGATGACTTTGCTCCATTGGGACTGGTGACGTGGATTTGAGCTCTGAGACATCAGTAGTATGAAGAAGTCTACTTTTCCTTCACTTTAAAACCTGTCTGTATACACAGAGAGGTTTACTGTTAAGTCATGACTAACCAGGAAACATTTAACGGGTCAAATTAGTCCTTTTCCTCCAGGTCCCTTCCACCAGCTGCCGCATTGTGATCATTGATGATTGAGAGCACAGACTTATGGGATGACACCACATCCAGAATCTAAGCAGTCAGACATGGACAGCACATCTTGAGTATCAGCATTTCAGCGCTCCTCCACTGACCAGGCTGGATAGGGAGAGGAGAGCATGTCCACACAAGTGCAGACAGAGACAATGCATGAAAAAGACGGAAACATCTAGACTTACAGAGAGAAAGATATGTGGAGAGTGAAACAGCAGAAATACGCCAGCCACGGTGGGCCGCGCCCCGGATCCTCAAACGGAGGCGTAGGTGTTGCCTGTGGTGCTGCAGTGGCGGATGGTTGGAGTACCAGCCGAGGGGGTGAGGATGTGCTCAGTGTGATCCTGCGGGGGTTGGGGCAGAGAGTGAAGGACACCAGGCTGAACGACCCCCACCACAGGGTGAGACCCGTCCTCTAGTGCCCCGACCTGGATCACCTGGATCACCTCATGCTCCGACTTCTCCCGCTTGGCGAGAGGTTCCCCGGACTCTTCCGTGTCGTCTTCCAAGTCACTGTCCATCCCGCTCGTTTCATCTAGACAGCAGAAAACAACACATACAACATATAAAACAATGGTATAGACGCATTCTCCTATAGGAAGCTTGACACACCTGGAGAAGATGAAACTTTTCTCTTTTTAGTTTATTTATTATAAAATCTAAATTTTGCTACATCAAGAAGCCTAAATGGGTGGGTGATTTCCCCTGCTCACACAAGGCAATCATAAAAAATGAATGCTGCTAAGATCTTGGAATCTCTTCACTAGATGTTTAGTTGATGCATTCACTGATATTTTATACATATATACAGTATATTTACAAAATGTCATTATTTCTCAAACAGTCATACAACAGGCTGCAACAATAAAATCTCTCTCGCTCTCTCTCTCTCAATCTCTAGAGATTGTGCCACATACCTTTGTCGATGTTGGTGAGGGATAGGGTGTTGAGGCTGTCGAACTAAAAACAGAGATAAACATCATAATTAGAGAGGTCACTGATGGTTTACATTGTGTTATTTTTTTCCCCCATATAAACGAGATATTAGACTGTCATTTCGTAAAAACTCCCCTCTGGGATGATTTCATCCATTTCATCATTTCATCGACAGATATGAAATACTCAAAGGTTATTTTGCATCTGACATACAGTATATCTGTCATGTGCTGTAGTGCATCACAGTGGCACTATGGAATACTGTGAAACAGGAAAGCAAATCAGTCCTGCATTAAGATACAAAAAAAAACACAAGATGCCACAGTTGTACCTCCCCCATGACACCAATGGGTGTCTCTCCAGTAGCTTGGGCCACACGATGCTCCACTAGGTAAAACATGTACTCATCATACAGCAGACGAATCAGGTGGAAGGAACCAAAGCTGGCAGCGCTGCGCAGGGTCAGGTCCCTGATGACCATTGAACTGGAGAGACATGAAAAAAACATTTTGAGTGTTTTGTCGCGACGCTGAACACACTCTCACGCGCTCAGTATGGTTGGTGGTTTGCAGACCTGTAGAAGGACCATTTTAACAGGAATTGTCGAGCCGCTCTGGGGAAGCTGGGCCGGTGCTCGTAGGGCTTGAGCACCTGAGTGACCACATTGTCCAGCCAGGCTGCCCATTGCTCCAAAGAGCTTTGCTGCTGTAGTGTGGCCTTGAAGTCCTGCTCCAAGTGCTGAACCACTCCCTCCTCACACTGGCATACCCACGATGCCTGCTCCTGTACAGCAACATAGAGAAAAAACTGGAGGTTCACACTTGTAATATAGAAGGGATACTATAGTACACATAAAAAAAGCTGTTGGATTTTCAAAAATAAGGAGCTGTTCTGACCTGTACATTGGCAAAGTCAACACGGTTGAGATCACTCAGCATCTGGTTGATCTGCGACGTGTTTTGCAACACAGCACGTGCCGCCTGAGCCAGGTGGTTCAGAGATGTGTATCTGCGCAGTGTTTGCGCAAAGGCACTAACAGCGGCAATCTGCGAAAGCGATGCATGCAAAAACCCAGTTGTTACCTACTGGTAGTATATCGTACATACAGTAACATTCAATATTACTAGTAAAAACTGTTTCTTTTGAAAACAGTAACGTGACTTTTTGTGTAGCATTGTCACAAAGCTGCAATATTTCACCTTGGTCTGGATCATTCTCTGTGGAATGGCATTCATGGCATTATTGAGCCAACCTTCCAGGCTTTTGGCAAAGTTGCGAATGGCTTGAGTCAAGGCACCTGAAAAACAAAACAAAGAAAACAACAAGACAAAAACAACAGCAGCGAGTTAATTATAACATTACAAGCACTGACACAGAAAACAAGTAAACATGAGAGGTGTCTATTGTCTATAGTGTGGCTCACTGGGAATGGGTCTCAGGACATCAGGAATGAGGATCTCCACAAGGGCCTGGTACATTAGATGGTCACAGGTGCTCATCCATTTGAGTACAGCCTCGTTTCTGCACAGCACCAGTAGCTGTGATCGGGGGAGCCGCGCTTCGATCTCACTAATGCTGCTGCAGAATGAACAAACCAGACTCTGACAGATGCCCTTTGAAATCTGATTACCCTAAAATGTTATAAGTTCAAACTTATACTATTTGAATATGATCTGGTATCTAATATTTCTCTTTAGCAAAACATGACAGACCTCATCTAATAAAACCAACAGAGTAACATAGTAAATCATCATCAGCTTGACCTCACCTGTTTTCTGTTACAGTGGCACCCTCTACTGAGTCAGGGGGAGAGTAGCGCCAGAATGTCTGCCACAGTTTTTCAATTAGACTGAACTGGAGGTTGACCACCACATCCAAGATAGCCTGAAACAAATGCAGAGAATAAACAAAAACAGTGAATAGTTTTCACTGGAGCTACTTTATAAAAGGAGAAGGAGAAATAGTCCCCTTGAAAACTGTTGAGAATGAGGTCTGTGGATTATCCAGAAGAACCAGGTCAAATGTAATTCATCAGTGCTCTCAGGAGCAAATAAACAAACAAACAAACAAACAAACAAATGACATCCCATTCACTTCCATTGTATTGATGTGGCAGTAGATATGCAATACATGGACATCTCAGAACTTAACCAAACTATGTGCACAGGGAGAAGGTGGACAGCTGTTTGTCAGACCACAAGGCCTTTGGTCACTTGTGAATGACCTGATCCCTTGTTTTCCAGACATTAAAAGATTTGTGATTGAAAACTTCACAGGATGAAGAGAAAATTCTGCTCCAAAATGCCAGTGGATGGCATTTACGAATCTCTGTCACTACAAACACACATGACCTTTCCAAAAGTTTCCACAGTCTGAATCCGGCCAAAGTTTAAACGTGTGCTCTTTTTCGAAATTTGAAAAACTTTAGTTCAGTATTTTCATTCTTGCTAAACCTTTCTTATTAAAGAAAGCTTAAGCAAGATTAAACCACTTCATTGCTGTGATGATAGATAGTGGTGGATTGAGGCATTTATACATAATGAGGTAAAACCTGGACTTGATTCTAGTAGAGAATGAAAATCTTTGTAGAAAATAAGTGGAATAGATTTATGTGGCAGCAAAATACAGCAAGTAGTGGCAGATCGATAGGAAAATGTATCGTCACAGTGCCTGCGTAGTGAAGGCTGATGTTATATCAATGAATGCTACAGTATTGAAGGGAATTTATCTAACCTCACAGTGCTCTCTGTAAAGGGACTGGAGAGCTTTTACATCCTCTGGACTGATGTTCTCTGTATTGCTCTGTCCCAGATCCAGCTCTACAAAGTCAGGGAGCGCCCGCGATGCATCTGTTAAGGTAATAAAAACTCTTTATTTGTCACTGTGGAATAATCTAAAGTCAGATATCGTTGCATTTCAATGCATTTCACATGTTTTTGGTTTTATAGACATTCAGATAAAGAGAAAAGCTGCTGACCTAGGAACTGTTGGTGGTGCTGGCTCTGTGCAATGACTGTCTGCTCTGCCGCACCAGGATGGTGCTGGCCTCCACCTGAGTAATTCTCCCCAGAGCCACTATCAAACTTCTGCACCGGCTTGAACCTGAAATCACATGGCCATGTGAAGTTCAATACCTCAGTATCAGTAATAACTGTGACAAGTGCTGCACATCTTTATGCATGTGTAGCTGCCTCTGTACCTCTGTTTCTGCTGAACAGGTTGCTGTCTCAGAGCCATATACTGCATGTCCTCTTGGAGTCTATTGAGTGGGGAATCTGGTTTTACACGTATACCATAGTAATGATATTTGGAGTTCCCTCTGCAACACAAAACCAAAAGTGAGCACATATTGAGTCTCCAGGTGAGGTGAACAGAAAAGGTCACATGGTTGGGAAAAACTGTTTTAACAGGAGAGGGAAGAGAAGAGAAGCTAAAAAAAGCTAACCGTGTCCCAAGGCGCCTTGTACGGAGTCCCATGAAGATGGAGCGGATGAGTTTGCCAAAAGAGGCTGCATTTACAGGGTCCAGTTTCTGCTCCTGGCAGTGGCGCAGATAATGATTGTAGAGGGTGGATCGTGGTAGACTTACGCCCTCTGCTGTCTCATAATTGTCCAACAGCCACTGGAGCTACAAGGGAACACATGCTGTCTTACTGAAGAGATTCACACTGGTTCATGCAAACTGTCCGGAAAGACCTCAGAGCAACAGTCAGTGAGCTGCCGCATCACAGCTCTGCAAAAGCATTTCTATAGCAGCCAATGAATTTAAAGCAACAGTTACAATTAAAAGGAGCAACAAAAACAGCAAAGCACCACACCAAACTCAAATTTATAGAGAACTGAGGGAGGCAGAACAGCAAGAGAGTGAGTTTAGCAAAAGTCGAGGTAAGGCGAGGGCAAGCATTCGTAAAAGCAACTTACATGGCTGTTGAGCAGCGAGCTTCTCTGACTGGATAAACCCTCAGATTTTTGGAGCGTCTCAATCGCCATTTCAATCTGATAAACCACGAAGCACAGGACAACAAAATGTAAGAGGGGGGAAATAAAAAAACAAAAGCAAGAAAAATAAAGAGTTGATGAAGACACATTAGTGGCCACTAGCAAAAATAAAGGAGAATCTAGAAAAGATTCCAAAGCAAGCACCTCTAAACCCAAGCAGAGCAGGACTACCTGCTATTTCAGGAAAACCTTCGCCTAGTTGAGAAACAGGGACATAAGCTCAGCAGGATCAACTAAGTACATCAGTCATGGACAACTGGCACACACACAACTCTTCCAGACTAGTATAGCTGGGTAGCAATATGTGTGGCTGTCCAGTCATGACAGATGTTTACTTATGAAGTGAGATATGCAGTATTTGGAAAATGTGAAATTCACTCTTATGAAAGGATTATTAGTTTAAAATAAATAATCTCAAGTTAATAGGATTCCATATCTTAATGTACAGTATTTCCTGTTAGCACCATCGCACGCCACTTTCCGCCAAAAAGATCTTTCATCTGTTTCAATCAAGTCTCCTCCTTGGTATTTCATTAGTCAGAAAAAATATACATATCATACAAGGATGAGCTGCTATTTTAGCAGTTAAACACACTGGTAACCTTGCACACTTTTGTACTCATTTTTTAATTTTTTTCCATAAAAAAAAAACATTTCACCTTTGTATTGTCATTATTAAACTCTCTGCCATGACTAACATCCACATAATGTAATGTCAGTAACACATCATTGCTACATTTCTGCCAAAAAGTGTCAGTACAGTGGACTACTTGAAAATGCCCAATGGGGCATTCAGCTAAAGAGCAAGGACCTTATGCTGTGTGCACCAGCTTGTCCAATACACAACTCTTGAGGAGTGGGTTAGCTGCGGTTCTCCAGAAGCACGTTCCCTCACCATTCTCCCATCTTTAACACACCTGTCTCCCAGGTTTTATCCCCTCTTTCTTTTTCACCAAACAGTGGGAATAAGAGACAGACGAAATGAGAGATGGGAACAAAGGCCTGCATTACTTGAACACAATATTAAGGGTTACAATGTGAGCATGGCTGGCAGTAGTTAAATCACTACAGAGACTCAGGCCCAGCCTACGCAGTGCATCACATACATCAGCAGAGGAAGACTGCCCGAGATAAAACACACCATACACAATCACGGAGGTGGTGTACGTACAAACTGTTTATCTGTAATGTCACATAATATGTGTACTATGTGTACACACTGACGTTTTGAGAAAATGACACAAACATTGACTCTAAGTATGGACCTCTTCTTTGGAGACTGGCATCAGCATAGATCAATAACGTATGACAGAAATAGGGAATCTATTCTAATTGGGGGAGTGTCAGCAAATGAAGAGCTGTGTGGATCTAAACAGGGAAAAGTTAGAAGTGACTACAAAGTCGCTACAAATACTAGTCAGATTGTCTTTCAACAAAACACACAAAAGCAGGCAGGCAAGGACAGGTGAGGAACCAAATTAGTAGGTACTATGCACTTACAGTAGCTGGGGAAGCTCGTGCAGTCTGGGTGGCAGGGTGGGGTCCAGCGTTGTCCATGAGGTAAGCCCCAGAACTGCTGCTGATTACCTGACCCCCTGCCAGACCCATGCTCATTCCTCCACTGCCCCCTCCTCCGTTGTTGGTCATGCCATGAGATGTCACCACAGTGGACACTTGTGATGAGCTGCCCTGTGTGTCAAAGTAGCTCCCTCCACTGTTCTGGCTATACAGCTGCGGCTCTGAGTACGAGTAGGTTCTTCTGTTCAGAAGAGAGGTTAGCAGTCAGTCAATGTGCACAAACTGAAAATAAAACTGAGAAAAAAATTGTCTAAATGGAGTACTTTTATTGCAACTTTTAAATGATCTGTGTTACTTTGCATTGTCTTGGAATAAAACATTTTTTCAGTCCAAGTATGGGTTCTCAATTATACAAGACACCTTGTTTGTGTAGGCACAGTCAAATGCTGTCAACAACAATTAGCATACTGTGAACAATCCAAAATGAATTAATTCAAAATGTCATCATTTGTAATGGTTAATGCCATTTTAAGTAATGTTCTAAGTAACATCAAATATATGTAAATCAAATAAAGTTGTTTTTGTATGTGATTTGGGTGAAGCTTTAAATATAATGTCCACATTATGTTGTCACAAGCCTGGAACTCAGCCCATGTGTCCAGTTGTTTGGTGAATGCATGATTTTGTATTTCTAAGTACTTAGTCTATCGGTCTACCTTACACCTCCAGTGTTTCCGCCAGTAGCTGATGTCACATAGCTACGTTGTGTTTGTGTCTGTATATGCACTGATGTGCATATATGTGTGTATCACAGTAGGGCAAACACAGCTTGGGCTTGTTAGTGGAGTGTGTACGTAACCCCATTCCTCAGACCCAAGGGACCTTACATAGCGTCAGCACTTAGAAGACAGACCTACTTCTGGTCATGTTCAGGTGACTGAGCACCCCTCAGAAAAGAAAACAAACACACAAAACCAGTGCACTCCCACCAGCATCATGTGCTTGTGACATGAATGATGGTGTGAAGAGACTTAAGAGGAGAAACAACAGACTGCAGAGACATAGCGCTAATATTTGTGGAGTGGTGTAAGAGCAGAGCTGGGTAGCAGAGTGACTCACATGTTGCCATTGGTGTAGACGCCACTGTTTTCCTCCACATACTGCACCTGTGCTGGGTAAACATGCTGAACCTGTTGAACAGTCTGGGCCTGGCAAAACAAATTGCAAGACCCGCAAATTAATTATCTAATTGACTAAAATTACATGTTTCACTGAGAGACACAGACATGCATGGATACAGGCATAGTATGCACATGTGTGCAGTTACATTCAGACATGAATACACACATAGACATTCTGTATGTACCTGTTGCTGGACAGGCACCTGCTGGGTGGAGCCGGTAGGCTGGACAGGCACGGTGGTCTGAAGAGGGACAGTGGAGGTGGAGTCAGCGCCTGCTTCAGGGGTCTGCATGGCGCCTGAATAAGACAGAGAAAACACAGTCTTGCTGTAGATAGATAAGGACCACAATTGCTGAAAACCAAGAGCACTCTGAACCTACTGGTCTAACTGGCAAAGCAACTTTACACTCAACAACAACAACAATATGATTTTCGTAATGCTTCGCTGAGCCAACACTCGTGGCATCAAAGATTAATAACTCATTTAAACAAAGAATAGATTTATAAATACATGCTTGTATTCTTCTAAATGTTTTTGAAAAACAGACTAAGAGTTTACAACAGAAAAAAACACAGATTACTGTTTTATAACAACTGGTGAAATAGTCATTAAGTCAGTGCCATGAACTTCAAATAACTCAACATATATAAATATATGTCCTGAACATATTGCACAAAGTAACAGAAACACAAACCATCATATGACATGACAAAAGCTTTGTATAGAACAAAACAAAGCCAATATTTATCCTCATGATTTGCTTAGCCTTGGCCATAAAATATGCCTAAATGAGATACTACTCAAGGCATAATAGAAAACATGAGGTTTAATCACAGACCCTTGTCTGTTTTGCCCAAATCAATGCTTATAAAGCTGTTCTACAGAAATTCTACACAAGCACCTGCTTTTGCCTTGTGGTACTCGATGTACTGAAAGCCTCATGCATCAGTGACACATGGTCTTGTCTCCATGTTCACAGCCATAAAACAAGTTAATATTTAACAAACTCCAAATAGATGCTGCTTCTTGTTGCTCTGTCAGTCCCCACTTTTACAGGTCTAATGTTACTTGAGATTGGAAGTCCCGGATCACTACTACGAAAAGGTGCTAAGGACAATTGGCAAGTTATCAAATTATTGAGTAACTCTACCATTTAGCATCATTACTACTAATAAAAGAGCTACACTGTGGATCAGAGAGAATGCCTAAAGTACTTACTAACCAAAGGTAAAGAGAACTATTTTGAAGATAAGGATAAAATGAGAGGAGAAACTGTTGGTGAGCCTGTGTTTGTGAGTTAATAATAGTATGGCTAACATCACCCATTCCTTCCAGGGGAAGGCCACCTCCTCCCCATCACAGTTTCCATGAACAAGCCTCTCTTGGTTAATTAAGCTGGGTCTCCTAACAGCTTCAAATCTCTCCAGGGACAGCCTGTCCCTTCCCTTTATCTTCAATATCATATTGTCCTTTTTTCTTGAGATGATGGCTATCACTTTATTTGTGTTGGGGTGACTAACCTCAAAGTTGAATTACAAAGTTGAGTCAGTCTTTCCTGGCGCACTTATGAGTGTGGGGAAAAGTGAAGCAGCAGGAAAAATCAGCAATTTCTTATAGACACAGAGGAACTGAGATTCATTAACGAAAAGCCATCTGCTTTCAGCATGACTATTTTGAACACCTTGGGGATGGGGATATGTGCATCTAATATCACTGTCAGACATGTCAGCAGGTTGTTGATAGACAGACTGTGGTCTATCTGATCGAGAAATAAACTACTATCCGGTGAGTTACATTTTTATATTCTGTGATTTTGTAAAGACGCTATTAATGAAGACAATTCACAAAAAAATGACAACCTGATTGAGCATATGATTTACATACTACTAAGTGTGAAAGCCATTGGATGCACGCTACCAGAGTAAAAAAAAATGTGATTCTGAACAATCAAAGTGTAGCCTTCAGTTTACTATATCCCAACGCTAAAAAAAGGATGAAGAGGAGAGGAGAATGTAGACTCATGTTCCACAGTGCAGTTTGAAAGCTAAAGTACATGTGCCCAACTGAGCCCACCTAATCGAGGAAAAGAGCCCCTGCATCACAACACACTCTTGTTGCCTCACCCCAACCCCCTCCACAAACACATACACACACTAACACACCTCCTGCCTCACCATTCAGGCACTCCCTTGTGGCCCACTTAAATGCTGTGCTCCACTGAGCAAGTGCAAGCCCTACAAAGACACAGAGGAACAAAAGCCACCAAGGAGGGCAACATTTTGCCCTGCGTTTTCTCCCCTCAATTCCTCTTGCTAACATTACAAGCAACAAATAGGTACACAGTCACAGCAGCTACCACAAAATTCACAGAAACATCATTTGCCTCTTTAATGATCATGTATGATAAAAGTGGAGTCTGATGCACCAAGTAAAGAAATATGAGCTGGTTAACAAGGCTGAAAAGTATACCATACACAAAATCCCTTCCTTTCACACAAATTCAACCCAAGGCAAGACGGGAGCATGATCGGGTGCTAGTAACAGGAAAACAGCTGGAAGGAGATGTAACAGGGAGCAGGTATGCAAAGTACTGTTTGTTTATGAGTTGGGTATTCAGATTATAAAGTAAACATGACATACAGTTTTGATGGTGCCAAAAATAGTCACAAAGCTAGAGTCCAACATATGAAATGATTTGATGTCAAGACAGGACCACGGGAAACAGAAATGTTAAATGTGCCAAAATTTCCTGAAACATCATGATACAGGTTACAAGAATGAGTCCAAATGTACACTGTTCAACCGATGTTGCCGGATTTGGGTTTAGGAAGGAAAAAGTAGGGACCTCCAAGTCCCCTCTTTCATCAACAACACACATTATTTCTGGCAGGCTGAGGCAAATAACAAACCAAACATGCCGTATTCTGCTAAGCCATGAAAATGGATGACTGAATAATTGAATTAATCAGCCCCTCTTTAAGTGATTGGAAATGCAACAGGATCCAGGCAGCAGGTGGCATGGTACTATTTCTGTCCTACTGGACTACAGGTAAGTGGTAACCTGATCTAATAACTAGCAGTTACCAACATCCTGTTTTGTGTGTATGCATGTTTTGGGAGGGGTGTCTGACCTATTTTGGGCTGTATATGCCCACAGATCAATATAATTACATTATTTTGGGCTTTGCCTTTAGTATATGCAAAAATGGTACCATTATTGTTCTGACCTAATTAGTGTGAACTGCTCTAGCACTGTCAGGCCCACTTACTTATCAGGTCTTACTTGACAGGTCTTTTTCATACAAAGGACTTATTACAGGTGTAATTACACATAAATAATTGACAAATAATTAAGAAGGAGAGCCAAATTCTAAGTATGGCGATGGACAACCAAAGTTTATTTACTGCTGAATACCTTTTCCATCGTGAACACATACACTCATAGTCCTACATGGTAAGGCTTTCCCACCACTACTAAAAGTATATGTGCACCTGTCCTCCAATCACCTCTCCACACACACACACACACACACACACACACACACACACACACACACACACACACACACACACACCTGTTCTCTCTCCTAACAGGAATCAAAGGTCGCAGCTGTACAGGAGACCCACTGGACCCAATAATTGTGATGCAATATGCAATATTAAGAAATCAAGTCTCTACTTATATGAATCACCTACAGGATTAAGGAATGCTAAAATTCAAGTTAAACATTATATAGTGTGAAAAAATTATAAAGTATGAATAGACTGAAATAGATGTGACTGTTTTCATTCCATTAAAGTGAGAGTAAAACAAATCTGGCACAATATGAAGCTGTTAACTCACAACTAAGGATCTTCCCCCTGTACAGTGTCATGCTAGAATGAATACACTCCTCTTTCCTGCGCATCCAGGAAATACATGCACACACACAGTACATGTGTATAACAAGAATACAAAATATAACCTTTTAACTGTTATTCATCATTTATAGAGTACACATGTATTGAAGAAGGGGCGGATAAACCCTGACGTTTACAACCCCAGACCCAGAATGTGCAATGCAGAATAACGAAAGGATTCTGGTTAAAATGGGTACTAACATCAACGTATTTTAATGTTAATCCGGCAGGTGATTTTTTGCTTTAAAGCTGACGACTGCAAAACTTAGCCTTGTGTTATCAGATAGCTTATCATAGCCATCTGATGCCACAAAGAGGGCAGATGGAAAGCTAGCGAAGCTATCTGGCTCCCTAAGACAAAAGGGAAAGTAATGGCTTAGCTATTGTCAATAGCAGTTAGTGTATGGAAAGCTAGCTCACAACACTTTATATTGTTGATCGACGTTGTTGATTTTGTATGAGCAAAAACAATTGAACCCCCCGAAACACTAACTTGTAATATCACCGTAATATTAGCTAAAAAATGCGATTACCAACAGGCATTGTCAGAAGGCAACGCTGGCGTTAGCAACCTAGCAACAACAGACACCTGCTCCTGCTCCAGCTGACCAGCTAGCATCAGTGATTAGCCAAGACCTATGCTACCACCCAGCATGGTAAGTTTAAACCAATAAGTTACACAGAAAATCCGTTTTCTGCCAAACAGACTACATTTGGGTAATTTCTAGCCACAAAGCACCCAGTGAGCAGACAATGCTAGCTCCTGCTAGCGAGCTGGACCTCTCACATCTGTGGGTATCTACAGGCAACGTTAGCAAGCAGGCTAACACGTTACAAAGAAACACCCTCGCTAGCAAAGTACCCCTGCTATTCACCGAGCCTTCATTCAGCAGCGGACAAAACATAAACCAAAGCATTAATTTCTATTTCATATAATGATACGTTGAAGCGAGAAAGGACTTCAACTCGGGCTAAAAAATAGTAAAGAATGTATTCAAACCTGAGCTGTGGACTGGTTGATGAAGATGAGGATGGTGGAGGAGGTGGTAATGATGGAGCGAGAGGTTGTTGTTGGTGGGTTACAGTCGCCAGGACTACGGTGACTATGGCGCTGCCTCACTGGGCAACAGTTGCTATAAAACTCACCGGGAGCGCGCAACCTTATCAGGCAGGTGGGAGGAGATTATAGCGCACTAAATACAGTCTTAACGGAAATAAAATCACACCCAAATACATATGTATTAGAGTGTAATGAGAGTACCTTACAAGGCTGGCCTTTACACCCGATCACTTGCGTTTAGTATGATTTATTTGGAGACTTTCAATATCATTTGTATGTTATAGGTTATTTAAATAAAGTCCGAAATTTGTTTCAGTGCTCCCAACAGGTGCAAAGACGACGCCTGGAGTCTCTGAACAGGTTGTTCTCAAGACGCTGTAGGCTTTTGTTCTCCCTCAGTTGATACCTCAAAGTTTTATAAACATCTAACCGTGATCCAGGACCTGCGTAACATGGTAATTTTGGCATTATAATGAGTAATAGTAATGATGATGAAGATACATGAAGATGCATTTGCTTAGTTTAATATGTCTGTTATATGCACACTTGAAGTTACAGGCCCATTATCAAGTCTTGCTATGAAGGGTAAAATCTGCCCCTAAAGCTACCGTGTGAACCAACTGTGGTGTTTGTCTCAGCCTCAGCAACATCTGGATGTTGCCTTTTACCATTGTCTTTCACATGCGTAATAACAGCTCATTTTGCCATGGATACTGTACATGTTTCCCTTCACATTAAACTGACTTTTACAAAATCATGAACCTGATGTATCGAACTGTTTTTGTGAATTTGTAACTACAAGCGTACACAGGCAGTGCCCAGTATATATTCACTATAGCAGTTGGCTTGAGAGGCCAACAGTGAATGCCATTACTAGTTGTTCTTCTGTGCTGTATATTTTATGACCATCATGTTAATATTTTTTTTTGCCATTATCTCACTGTCCTTCTGAGTATTAAAGTTAACTCTCCTCGTGAATGCACTTTTCTACCTAAACAATTCCAGTTAGCAGTTAGCACTGCAGGTGTTTGTTACTTGACTGTTAACATTTGCCTCAGGGCTTTGGAATCAAAAAAAGTTCCTTGTTTGATTCTAAGCTTGGGCCTTATCTTTGTGAAATTTAACTGGGGAAAGAGTTGTTTTAGGTAAAGCTGGATGTTTACCTTTGCTTTATGAGAGATTATTTACAATAACCATTGAGCCTTAAATTGTTGTCATTTTGGCACATTGTGCAAAAGTGGTGGACATTGCTAGAAAAACAAAAACATTGGTTGTATAGATATCTATGAAATTACTAAATATAAAGCATGCTACTCATGTGCTACAAGTCATTTGCCACGAGGAGGGCTAAAAACATGCAGCACATTTAAATTGGAAACAGTGACCAAACAAAGCCAGTGTTGTTAAGACGCTTCCTACTGGATACAAAGCTTAACCAACCACCTGTGTCCACTGTGCAGCACTTTTTTTTGGTTAACAGTAGTAGACAGATGCTTTTTGGAAAAGCTGTTGTTGTTGCTAAGCAACTACTGAAACCCACATCTGAAGCATGACACTCTTTTGCTAAAAGAATTATTTTCAAGTAAAACAGTTTGTCCTTTCAATTTCATATAAAAAATGAATAAGTAAAAATGAATAAATAAATAAAAAATAAACTGCTGCAAAGACTGGTGCCTGCTGGACCTTTCATACTGTTCAGGTACACAGCAGCATAGTTGCTAGTTATGTATGTGATTTATGTTAGCTTATTGCCTCCAGCACTTTGGTCTGTTTAGTTATTTGTATTGTTACCGCAAAGTAGTTACTCTGCTGTTCATTTTTAACTTTGTCTTGCTTTGTTTAATGCAAAAAGAGGTAGAGATACAGACTCTATAGAGAGATACCAACTTGAACAATTAAATATTTTTTATTTTTTCTTGAGAAAATGTTCTTTCTAGTGTTAAAAACTGCTGTTTTTTTAAGTGTCAACTAAAACATTTTTAGAGATCCGCTATCCACTTAATATCTCGTTTCTTCCATTTTTATGTGGTGTTGTCTTGGCTCTCAATGTGTAAAGGCAAGTGCAAGTTTTCTTTATCAATTGCAGGGTGTTTTGGGGTATTGAAATCGTAACCTTGACAATGATCTGCGTGATGTGTGATCTGTGTCAAAATTAAATGTTTTAAATGTACTGATCCAAAAGAGAGTTTGGTGCATCTTCATATTACTGAGAGACACAAGGTATGACAGATGACAAACAAGGCTACCATTGTTTTACTTCTTATTCCTGATCCATTCCAAATATATTCAAAGGGTAAGGCACGATAGCAGCGTTTTAGCATAATTTAGTCCATTTACTACAAAACACAAACACTTCACATTGCTGCTGCTGATTTTTCAAAACATGCTTCTGAGTTCTGAATAGTGTTTTTATCCTAATGGTCATTTCACAACACTAAAAATTTGAAGAGACTTAAAAATTGCTTTCGTGTTGGATTCATGGTGGTCATTATGTCTGCTTTTTTTTTTTTATTGGTGGTTGTGTTATGATTGCGTAGTAATGCAGCTGAAAGTACAAATTGGATGGAACTGCATTAAAATGCAACAAATAAAGAAAAGCAAAAATAAAAGCAGCTATAATATAGCTATAGTTTCCCTTTTCTTAAGCACGTTTTGCTGTCTACATAAGGTCATTTTCATACCATATGGAAATAACTGAAATAAATGGCTGCAGGAAAATCGGTACAAAAATGTAGAGCACTATGCTGCTTTTAGAAAGGATCACACATCTGTAATGTGAAGTGTAAGTAGTTTGCAGTAAATCAACTAAAACATGCAAAATCACTGGTATGGTTATCAACAGAAATCCACCTCATGATCTAGGCACAGGAGCACTCAGCACATTACTATATATCAAACAACAAGTTATATCTATGTCTCGCTTTACTTTGAAATGGTAAGGCTGTCTTGTTACTATAGTTACAAAGCCATGGTTCTAAGAAAAACCTTAATAAGTGATCCCTTGAATACTTTGCTGTGATTGCAGTGTTGAATATTGTGCAAAATGCCACCAGAAACTACTTGAAGTACTTACTACATGCGATACACAAGCTGTATAAAACTGAGGAAGTAAACATTAAAATCCTGTAGGCTCAGTCATTAAAATACATTGATTATGGAGGCAGAAGCCAGAGTGTGGAGTCACATAGTACATTTACAGAGATTTAGTCAAAGAGAGAGAGAGAGAGAGAGAGAGAGAGAGAGAGAGGAAAAAAAAACTTGCATTGTGAATGTAAGTGTCAATTCCTTCAGCGCTATCTAACCCAGGGACCAGCAGTTTTTATTATCAAATATTCTTTTATTTCCCTAAATGAAGCTGCCAACCAGGTTGCAGTGACACAAAATAGTGCAAAGGAGAAAAAAAACCCCACAATTGAGTGATGTTATCCTTCTGTATAGATGCAGGAGACCTGGCTTGTGCTTGTGCAGTGGTCCACCACAGTGAAGAAATCTCCTCCATGTAAATCTTGATGAGGAGCCACATTGTGTGCTTGGCTGTGGACATTAAACCCTGCAGATGCACCTGCACACACACACACACACACACACACACACACACACACACAGAAGAACACAGGTGTATGTATGCACAGCGAGAGTTGTTAAATCCAGTGGCAATAAAGTGTTCATCCTTGAGCTATTTGTTTACTGTATTTGACTGTATTTTCATTACCTGTAATGCAGGAAAGAGCTGTTTGTGAGGTGGCCACCCCATTGGGATTATTGACTGCTGGAGCGAGGCTGTCACCAAAGGCATCAACTTGCATCAGGTGACTCGCACTGGTCTGTGCTGTGATCCCACCATATTGTGGAGGAGAATATAGTATCTTCATCGACCCGGAGAGCTCTACAAAAGAAATGAGAAAACCTCTCTTATCCTTATTGTAAAGAGCGATTCAATTAAAGTCTATAACATTACACCTTAAATTATACATTCCATTATAAAAGCAGCATCACACCTCATAAATGAAACAAATCGTGTTTCATTTCAGTCTTTTCAAACCCTGTCTTTATCTCAGCAGTTAAAACTGAACTGTGTATTTCTGAACACCTTGTCAACATCACTGTGGCTGTCAAGTCTGGGGGGAGGTGAAGGGGTGATATCTATTTAAAGGTACATAGAGTGTAGGAGCTGCCTGATTCTGTCTAACTAGAAAATCAGCAGCCACCTGCTACACATCATAAAGATATACTGCACGATTAATGTGCATGTGAGAAAATCTGTTCAAACAGATTGTCAAACCGCCCACACATTTGCTAATAAGCTCAGATGTGAAACTTGCACTGTAAACCATTTTCAGTTACCCCCCCCCCCCCCCCCCCCCCCTCCAGCACAATTGTATTTACATCGGCAGAGCGAGTATTTTGACAAAGCTTGGAAATACACTGATAAAAAACATCTGAGTACCTGGATTGTGATCTGCTAGTTCAGGCGGCTGGCTGGGCTGCTTCAGATCTCGGTTGTTCTGCAGGGATGTCCCATTGGGAGGATGAGGGAGGCAGGTGGAAGAGCAAGGCCCACACGAGTCCCCAGGGAAGAGCTGGTGAGGGGAAGGATCAACAAACCTGAAATATTTCAGACCGAATTAAATACTCTGCTTGTGGAAATAAGAAAAAGAACAATATATGTTTTTATAATTAAAAAAAACCCAACAACTATTACTTATTTGTATTCTATGGAACATATACAAACATCCTAAAATGACTTCAAAAACAACAGCCTTGCATAGGTTTGATGATGATTCAGTTTTATGGTACTTTTGAGGCTGGATTGCATTAACATGTAAGGTGTACCTAATATTTTAAATATTAAAAGATTTCTAAAAATGAAAATTATTACTTAGGCTACTGAATTAAATCAGTAAGACTTGTTTGTTGCAAGCTTCAAAGAGGCAGGATTTGTGCAGGGCCATAGTGAAATGTAACACATTCTACAGGAGTCGCTTTTATTGTGTCCATCATCTTTGAACATGATCCAATGTATAATATTTTGGTTTGTACACAGTGTGCACAGTTTATATATACCTGTATATATAATGACATCATTAAAGGTGATCATTCTAAACCACTTACTGTAGATGTCAAAGGCATCAGATCAGAAACATCTAAGATCACAAACTGAATCCATCCTTTAACCACAGTTAAATTCACTGTAAAACCTATGCAGTTTTACCAAAAACTGTATTTGTCCAGTTCCACATTTGCTACAGCTTCACACAGGGACACAATGACTAGTTAGGGTGCAAATAAATCATCAAAAGTGTTTGAAAATTAATTTAAGTAGCAAGAGAGACACTCTTTAAATGTTACAATCTGCAGTCACACATTATGGCCTGTGCAACAATAGCATTTTCCAGCACAATAGAGGAAGTCTCCCTGCAATGTTTTCCTTCATCACTCTTTTACATAAATAATAGATTAATACTGTATTTAGTGTAATTACTCAATAAAGCAAAGCAGTCTGAACATATTGAATTGAACATAGTTTTTCTCTTAGTTTTCCTGTAATATTTTAAACCACTAAACCATTATAATCACTATAACATCCTTGTCACTCATTGCTATAAAAAAAACAAAACAACGAAGGACATTACTTTCAGAGTCATGTAACTCATTGTTAGACACAGAGGATTAAACTAGTAAATGTAAATATTGTTCAGTGGCCATGGCAGCTGACACCCCTGCTGTTAGGTTTGGCCAAGTAAGACATTTGCATATCTACTTGCCAATAACAAGAATATTAAAGGAGCCAAAGTTTGCTGTCAGTATACTGAAGGACTCAATGGGAACCCAAAGGAATTCCAGAAAAGTGTACAGAAAATGGCAACAAGGATTTTACAATTGATTTAACATCTAAAAAAAGTAATTACACCGTCTCTCTTCTCCCACTGGACCTTAAATGGTATTTTTTAGATTTTATGATTCACTTATTGAATTCCTTAGCCGCTCTTGTCGGTGGCTATAGCATCCATTTATACCAGCGGTCAAGACCAATGAGGCAAGGCAAGGTCTGCTTTCACAGCCCAATTGTCTACCAAGAATCCTGCAGTGAATGCTTTGGCCTACCGCTGATATGAGAACAATCACAGCCAGTGAGGAGCCATGAGCATCTGGCTGCTCAGAATGACAGAAATCCTTTATCACATGCTTTGAAGTGTATAGATGAAGGGATGTTTTCCTATGGGCTGACTAACGAAATGTGTTGCTGGCCATCCCCAACCTCTCACACTTCTTCCCAGCCATAGCAGCCACACACACACACACACACACACACACACACACACACACACACACACACACACACACACACACACACACACACACACACACATCACAAAAAACAAAAATCCAACCCTTTAGACTTTTTTTTCTTTAAAAAACAGGGTACAAAATAGAGCTTCCTTTTAAACTGAGTATTCTAATTATGAGCTTATAGCTTTGAAACCATGGCAACCAATGCTTAAGTTGATTGTTTCAGAAATAGGGAGAAAAAAGATTTGTGAAGAATTTAAATCCATCATGGTTGAAGTCCTAACTGTGAACAGGAATATGAAATGAAAAGAAAGTAATAGTTGGTACCAACAGATCAGAATGGATGAAGGGATGAACACCATTCTTCCAAAAAACATTCCCTTGTTTGGTGTTTTGATGATGATGGTAGAGAGCACTGTCTAACATGTCGGCCCAAAATCTCCCATAGGTGTTCAATTGGATTGAGATCTGGTCAGTGCAAAGGCCATGGCATATGATTCACATCATTTCATACTCATCAAACCATTCAGTGACCCCTCGTTGACAGAAATGTTTCATCATAGAATGAAGGTGATCAGACTCAGTACAAATTTGTATTGATTTTCAGTGACCCTTCCCTCTAAGGGAACAAGTGGATCCAAACCTTGTCGGCAAAATGCCCTCCACAACATAACAGAACTTCCAGATCTCCTCACTGTAGGGGTCAAGCAGTCAGGCCTGTATTGATTAGAAAAAAAGGATGTTCTTGCTTGTTGATGGAGATGTATAAAATCTAAAAAAAAATCTAAATTATTAGAGACAATAAAATCATTACATAAAAAGGATGTACCAATACCATAATGTACTGGGTTGTAGCTAGGAGGTGGAGATAGAAGAGGTCGAAGAGGGACTTGAATTAAATCAGATTGGCAGCAGGAGGGTGTGATACTGAGTGTGCAGTGGACCTGTGGTGGGAGATGATGGTGGGGTATGACAGAAGGTGAGTTGGTTAATTGACTGTTTTGGGAGGATGACCGGTAAAGGTGATAATGGTGAATGCGACCTGTAGGGGGCACAGGTGGGGGGAACAGTGCTTTGAGATATCGGTATAGTAAGTGAGGTAGTCACCGGGAAGGGGGTGTGTGAAGTAAACAATCAGTCACGTGGGGCAGATTGGAGGTGCGTGCTGAATATTAGCTGCTAACATTTGGCTACCAAGCCGGTTGGGCTGAACTCTGTCGGGCCTAAAGATGGATGAACGATTTCAAGAACATTTTAAAATTGTCATTGAAACCAATGTTGTGGATTCTGCAAGTGAACTGGAGCCAGGTGTTGAGTAGTCTGCTAAAACGCCCAACCCCAGGGACCAGCGTTGGGAGGGGGCCGCTGACAAAAACCGACTTCCCACAGTTTAAAAAGTCAACAAAGGTCGTTAAAATCCTTTAGGTCAGCTCAGATTGCTGCCGGGCCGTGTCATTACATCCTACTTGGACTATCACCCGGTTTATGGAGGATTGGAGTGAGCTCAGCTGACCAGGGATCTTGTCCAGGATGACTAGGACTGTGGCTCCAAGGAAACAGCGAGTGGTTTCATTAAAAAAGCAGGTATTCCTAATCATGGAATCACCCATCTATATTAGTGTGGTTGGGGAGAAGAGTGGACGAGGAGGTGATGGTTGAGGATTCACCTGTAAGGCAAGTGCACGAGCCTCTCTGTGTGTCCTGGTAGGCAAGTGCTATGGCAGGGAAGCAGACCTGGTTAGAGGGATTCCCTGTCAGCTCAAGGCCTAGGAGATTACCGGAACACGGCCTCCTGCAGGATCCTACGCCGGGAGGATGAGGTCGAAGGGCGCCGTCAGATGGATGCACCAGACTGTCGTCGGACGGGGCCGCGTAGCGGTTAGAGAGGCACAGGCGAAGAGAAGAGGCAGCCACGGAATACCACGTCGGCCCAGAGCGATTGCTGGTTATATCTATCTGACAGGAGGAGGGTTCCCATACAACCGTGTCCTGGAGGGCTGCGCTGAGCGAGGTCAACTCCTTGGACTGCCCACATGCCACATCCATGAAGCTTGACAATAATGAATCCTTCGCTTGCAGTTCGTTGGAGAGCCGTCAGATATCCTCCTCAAGGTCAGCAACCTTTTTGTTTGATTTTCTCAGCAGTGCACCATCATCAGGGGCCATGGTAGGCATAATTGCTTTGGTTAGCTTAGTCATCTAGGCTAGTTAGATCTTTAAAGTTCTACAAAGTAGCCTATTATAAAAATATGTGGCATAAAACAGTATAAAATCGGTTTTATGACAGTGTTTCTGGCAGAGAGTGACAGCGACATCGTTGACAACGCGGGCATGCAACATCTCCGTAGACCAGGGCCTCTGGTTTTTGCACCACTAAACTCTCAAATGTGCATTCGCTGCAACTCCACTACAATATTCCTCTCTATGTAACTGTCGACCAACTGACTTTCTCCTCCATCACTTGAGGAAGCAGAAGATGTTGCTCTTCTGTTTCCTTACATATCACACTAATGCACAAGCATCACCCTTATTAAATGTGCGCTGTCGACCACAATTTCCAAACCTATTTACTGAGGTCTTTTCCATCTAAATACAAATGTCACTTAAGTCACTGTTCCTAGTGAAACACGAGCTAGTTGAGCAGTAGTGACTAAAGCTCCTGCCATCCACGCCCCTGACAATCAACCCTCTTTCAAAGTCACTTAGATCTTTTCCGCTTGCCTTTTTGATACAAAATCAGAATCAACTCGGCCTGCTCAGCATTTTTACATCTGCCACAGAGCATGATTGGGTGTTGATAGCCTACTTGTGCCATGCAGCAGTGCACCTGTGTGCAAGCATCTGCGTTGGTTATGTTTCTCCACTAATTTATTCAGGTGTTTCCTTTAATTTGTCATCTGCCTGTATATATTACAAACCTCTCAGACTTAATACAATAACACAAAATCCTTAGTACCTGTAATTGTCTTGTAAGGAGCACAACAGAGCCAGGTGAGGATTGCTGGAGGAGTCTTGTCCCTGTGGAGCAGCTGGGGAACAGGGATGACAGACACTTCAGGGCTGTCCACCACAGCCTAAATCTAATGGATAAACCTATTATGTGCAAATGGTTGCAGGGGAATACTGTATGTTTATTTATCCAGTTTTTATATAAAACATATTAATGCAAAGAGCCAGGCCATAGACATACCAGAGTATGACTCATAGGATGCGCCAGGGGATGGGTTCAAGTTGTTGTCTATCCTTGCCAGAGGAGAGAGGCTTGGTTGTAGAGGGTGAATGGTTAAACAGTCTGTCAGCGTGTCCTGGGTCACATCAGCAGTAGATTTCATCTAAAGAAATGATACATGGAACATAAACAGAAACACTGGTGGATAGCATCAACAGTTATAAGATTCTGGCAGAATCTTCTTTGAATCATTGCAATATAATACTAAAATCAATGATAATAATAATAATAATAATAATAATAAAATATTACTTCCTTAAATTACTTATAATGGATATAATAATTTCTAATGAATATAATGCTTATAGTGCACTATATATTTTTGTGATGTAGATGATTTTTGATTAGTCAGATATTACTACAAAAACACCCTTAAAGTATTAAATGCTAACATGAGGGGTTATAAATTCCTATCACTTGTTCTTTAGGCTCTTGTTTAAAGTCTTGTTACTACACTGTCACTTTGCTTTGGAGACAAGACAAGAAAGAGCTATAGCATGCTGACAGAGGGTTGCTGTACAGTATATACTGTAGTGGTGGTCTTAGTAATAAACAAATATAACATGCACTCCATCTTGAGAATTATCAGTGAAATCACAGTCACAATAAACATTGGTTATTTGAGTTTTAGATGACAGAAGTTGTGCATGTGGAGACTTTGTAAAATGTCACTTTTTTTAGTAACTACCCACCTTCGTTGTCTGTATCTATGGTGACTCACCTCTCAGTAAGAGCTAAAGAGCATGAATCTCACACACATGCAAATATAACGCAAATAACTGCAGCACAACAGTGCTATTATGTGAAAATCTGTAACCCAGTGGAAAATAAAGGGAGTGAAAGCAGGACAAAGATATGACAAACATCGTGATTATGTGGATTTTTGTGTGACCCCATTGTTCGAGTGTTAGCATAAGTTTGATTGCAGCTTGGTGTGTGTTTTTATCTGACTGCATGCACAACACAGATGTAAGTTAATGACAGTTAAGATAAATTGGGTTTTATATACATACTGTATATACATACATTTATGTATATACTCGGAACCATCACCTGATTTTGAAAGGACAAAGAAAACATTTCATATTTCAACATACATGTATTTATGACTGCAAATACCTAATAAACCTAGTGGGCACTATTTTTGTGGCAATGCGACAACCAGCGCAAGCGACACTGCAGCAGTTTGGTAATTTCCTGACCTTGAAACTGGCTTTGGGCACCTGAGTGGTATTTTGCTGCCAAGCGCAGAGCGCACGGTGCGCAGGTGGGAAGAGAGGCACAAACAGGTGGAAAGTTCATTCAAATGTGGCAGTGGAAACCAAGTGGTTGTTATTTTGGTGGAAAATGTGTCTTAGACTTTGTGCTGAGCGTAGACGTCTCAGAAGGAGACGCAGGAAGGACGCGATGATGCTTAAAATGTAAATAAACCATTTGCACTAATCGCTCCCCAGCCAGTGAACGTTTATTTTGTTTAAATCAGAACGGTGGGCAAATCAATCTGCATTCATCTTTGAATTAGTATGAGTGATTCTTACAGTCCTCTGTTGTCCACAACAGCTTGATACTGTCTGTGAAAATCTCTTCTTCAGTTCATAAAATTCCTACTGCCATCTGAAGGCAGCAGGACACACATGTTGTTGAACCTGTTCCCTCTGACTTGAGAAGTACCATGTTACAGTGCATTACAAACAGCAATCCACTGTCTTCACCACCTTTTAAATCACATGTAAATGACACCAGGCTGCCACCATACATACCATACCGTACCATACAATACTACACACATGAGACTGGTCTGATATGACATGATATCCTATTGTTTTACTGATAGAACAATCCTATGTGTCATAGCCTCCTTTTCAACTTTCTTTTTAGCAAAAGTGGCATTACATGCTTTATTCTTGAAATGCGTTATGGTGCGATTGCTGATGCGTCACATTTTATGGTAAGATGTTACCAATGTGAGGTGAGATACAGTAGCAATAAACTGATGTGGTCATGTAAAGGGCATTACCAGCATTTATGGTTATTTATCATCATTGCACAAGTTAAATTAAAACCTACATCTGCCTCTAGCTGCAGATTTGTGTTCAGATCAGGCCTTCCGCTTTGCCCAGGGCTCCATGTCTTTTACAATTCTGTTTAATTTATCAGACAACAAATCCATCTGAAAGTGGTGCACTTGATGTAAGTGAAATATATTCTCAAAAACCAAAGTGTTAGTTTACAGTTTTTCCTATTTGAGAACAATCAACTGTGTTACAGCATGGGCTGTGGGCTAGTGCGTACCTTCTTCCGTGACTGTCGCTCTTTAGTAGAGTGGGATTTCACGTGTTTCCTCAAGGAGCTGGGGTCCGTGTAACGCTTTGCACAGCCAGGCACCTGGCACGCGTACGGCTTCTGTTCAACCACAGATATATGAAAACTTGTAGCACACCACATAGAGGCAAAGACACACACACACACACACACACACACACACACTTTGAAATACCATAATTTCATGTGTGTCTGTGCTGCGCTGCCACTCACTGTGTCCAAGTGTGTACGCTGGTGTTTTGCTCTGTCACTTGAGTTGCTGAAGGCCTTGTGGCATCCTGGATGCTGACACAGATAGGGTTTCTCCCCCGTGTGGCTACGCAGGTGGATCTTCAGGTTCTCTAGTCGAGAGAAAGCCTTCTTGCAGCCCTCGAACTGTGACGGTATATAAACACAGTAAAAGTAGATCAAGCAGTATACTGCCATCAGATGGCCACAGAGTAGTAGGCTACATACATTCAAAACAAAACCTACATGTTTTTGGCTGTTGGCTCTATCCAGTGCAATATTCAATATACGCCCTGCGAGCATCTCTAACCTGATGTTGCACACATACTTGCGGAGTACATACTTGGAGCTATGAGCTTGTTAGCTGGAATCACAAAAGACAAAAGGCTGCTGACCTTAGTGCGTGGGAGGGAGTGGAAGAGGAAATATAGAAAACCTTTGAATAGAAAAATTACTGTCATTTAGTCTCAACTGACACTCAAGTGTGCCCTAAATGCACACAGCTAGTTTCATGGTTGACAGGCGAGCAGCTATAGAGCTGAGAGGGGCAGGTGCATCTTTGTTTATTGGCAAGTTTATGTTATATATGAACAACTGGATCTCATGGCTATTATTAGCAGTGGGCAGACTGTATTGTCTTGCTTGTCTTTCTACTTAAGAAGATTTATACTGAGAATTTTCTTCTTGTAATATACATGAATCTTGAGCCCTTCTGATTACAGCCATCAGTAGGTCTAAATGATACTTAACCAAACTTACTGACGCACGGTTTCAAATATATTTACATTTTTTATATCATATCTTCATTGATACATCTCTGATTGTCGAAAGTGTCACCAGCAGGGGTCAGTGTTCATACACACATCCATGTATTGTCATTTTGTGTTTTCAATCCTTTACTTGACTTTACTCTCCCTTTTCCTGCTCACAGGGGGTTTGGAATGTCCTTACTAAACCTTAAGATGAAAACACACAGACCATGTCCAATTTTGTTATTTTTTTCCTCCAAGACTGGATTCCTCACATACTGATACCTCTAGGTCATGACTCCCAAAAGCCAAATTAAAATGTTTCTTCTTTCTTCCCATTAATAATTCACTAATAACATTCCTCTGCATTCCACATAGAAATGCTCGCCACTCTCTGTCATCACAACGCAGCAATTTATTTCCTGTGAACATTCTTAAAAACGAAAAAGAAGCTCTCCATGTTTCTGAAATTGAACGCAAATATATTTTTCATTGTTTTTTTGCTAAACCATATTTGCAGCACAGCCATCGTTACAAGTCAGTGTTATTGCAACCATTTTTTGTATGTTAAATGGATGGTGGTTGCATTCTGGATATTTTATATATGCATAAGGTGTAGGTTGACCAGCACTGAATATGAAGAAAACAGACTAAACTGGAAACCGAACAAAAGTGCAGAGTAGCACAAAATGAGAAATGCTTCTCTTAACCTCTCAACCTTTTCCCACGCATGAGAGTAAATCTTCTCTTGAGCACTCTTTCTGATTCTGTTTTATTGCACTATAGGCTCTTTCATGAGGTGACGCATTAGAGAAGTAGCCCAATCCTAAATATAGTTTAAGCAGAAGAATTAACAACAAACCCCTCAGCTAGAGTAACACAAGAAAAACAGCACAGACGGAGATAAATAGTCTCTCAGAACCAAAGTGGACGGACAAGCGAGAACCAGCATAAAGCTAAAATACTGCCAAGACTGCAGGACTAGCCAGGGGTAGGTAACTGTGTAACACTCTCTCTCTCTCTCTGTCTCTCTCTCTCTCTCTCTCTGTCTCATGTAGCTCTCATAAAGCAGGCAGGGCTTTTTAGTGTGTCACAAGGGACGTCTGGGCTGAAAAGAAAGCAGCATGGCTCCTCAGTGTAGATCAGTGTTACAGCCAGCTTCTGACAGGTCCTGGCAGGTACTCATGCCCTGGCTGAACAATGACAGCTGCAGTCTGTGCCAGCAGCGTCTGTCCAGTGCCCAGTCCTACTCTGAGGTCAATTCAGTCTGGACTCCACTCTTTTCTGTTTCACCAGTGATATTTCTACCCTCTTTGCTCTTTTTGTTTCACCTGTTTCCTTATACGGTGTATTTTTAGCTTTTCTGTCCCTGTTCCTATTGATTTGTAAATTCCCCGGGGTGGGTGTGAAATAATAGTTTTGCAACATTCTAGAGCTACTACTAAAATGTAGGATGAAATGCTCCAGTGTTACCAGAAAGCAAGACAACATTTATCTCTAGGCTAGGATTCAAAATCTTTTTATCATGAGTCTTTTTAAAGTCAAAATAATTGCAGTGGAATAGAATGATTTGTTTTCAAAAGCAGAATACAGGGCCTGTAATGTAAAAATGACTTCCAGTATTGAAGCATCCTGGTGCTAAAACCATGTTAGTTCACTCCAAAACAATTGTGAGGATGACGCTTAAAATGTTGTCAAACCTGAAATCTCATTAGGCCTGTCTTCTGTGACATTGGCAAGCATTGAATTACAAGCTGCTCATATAGGGAAATCTAGTGGACAAGGAGGGAACTAAGGTTTCATTTTCACCCTATGCAATGCATTGATCACACTATTATGAATGCATAATGAAAAAGTAGAAATTTTGGTCAGCGGTGCTAATGACTGATGCTCATTTAATTTCTTAATTAAATATTTTGAATTCAGTAAAAACAACCAAAAATAAAAAGCACAACTTTTCAGTACAACTTAAATTAAATCTCTGCGTTGGAATGGCATGCAAACATGTCAGCCACGCTGTACATACTAATAACTGAAGAAGCCATAACTCCACCACCTGAGTAATGGGATTACCAAAATGGTAGAAGCACAGAAAGATGTTAAAAATTGTAAAATAAAAAAACCCATTATGAACATGCTGACTCACAGCGACTGTGGAAATCTGTTTTGTTTGGGGTTTACGTTCAAGTGATACTTTTAAAACCCCATATGTTTAAATCACAGTGACAGACGCAAATAGACTGGCGAGTCAAGGATATGTTAACAAACCGTTCAATCATCAGTAAACAGGTCGTGAAATGACAGGTACAAGTCTGGGCCTGCCCTATATGTTCACTGTGTAACAAGAGCTACCTCATTGTTCTGTTGCTGGCTCGCACCTCATTTATCATGCATCAGTTTATTCACCGGCCAATCATTTCCTAAGGAAAACTGGGCTCTACATGTTTTATAGTTGCATAGTCTGAAAGGTGGGCTCAGCTTTCTCTAAATATGAATGTACTTTTCATATGCAGCATTTCCTTCATTAAAGCATAAGTTTTCAACCTTTCACTATATGGACAGAATTATGTTCAGGTTTAAGAACATGTTGATGTATAGACAGAAAACGTCTGCACTCTTGACATTATTCTCAGACTCAGGAACAATAAGTCTAGTATCAATTCTGTTTGTGGGAGTGGGTTTTGACCATGATTACTTTCTACATTATTGAATGATTACATGGAACGCAGAACCATCCAACAATTGCAGCCCCATGGCAAGAGAGTGAGCTTCAACTAATAAGTGAGTATTTTGGTACAAAAGGTCGACTGCAGGTATGCATGGCGTTAATAATTGACTTGTTGAAAGCAGCGACATGAAACATGTTTGGCAAGTGGTTTGTCAATTACTCATCTTAGTCTCAAGTCTTTTCCCAGTGGGACTAAAAAGGAGTAAAGAGTTGTGTACAGTCCACTGGCCATACTGTCCAGACGATGATTCAGGTTGTCACTTTTGGCTTTTAGTGAAATATCTCAACAGCTAGTTTTGCTGGCCCCCTCAGGATGAATTGAAGTCACTGTGGTGATCCCCCTGACTGTTCATCTAATGCCACCATTAGGTTAAACTACTGTCCAATACCTTGCTTTATGACCAAATACTTGAGAAACTAATGACAGTCTCTTTAGCCTGTGGTCTAATTTGTGTTTTGGGCTGATTAGCAAATGTTAGCAAGCTAATACTCCAAATTTAGAGGACGAACATGTTAATATTACGCCTGCCATGCATCAGAATGTTAGCATTGTCATTGTAAGTATGGTAGCATGCTAACATAAGCATTTAGCTCAAAGTAACGCGTCATGGCACAGATCCATTAGCATGGCTGTAGACTTTTGTTACTACATTCTAAGATGGGAATCTCTACATTGTGAAATCTTTCACATCACATCCAGAAATAAGACCCAAACTAAAGAGCCATCATTAAGTTGCAGCACGTCTGAAAGAACTAGATTGTCCATCTTGGAGAAACAAAGCCAACAGTTCATCAATAATAAGGCCCATGGATAAATGCCAACTCTTTGGCCACAGACGCAGACCTGTAGAGAGCCAGACTATGGGGCATCACCTTCCCAGAACGACAGCCAAGTTCTTCAGACGGTGGCCTGGCAAACCCCCTGCTCCTAACAGGCCCAGCAGCTACTACAGAGCCATGGTGCCATGCCAGATCTAAAGTGCTAGGCCTCCTTTGTGCTGATTTAATAACTACATAATTGAGTTAACTCCCATGTCAATTATCACAGAGCTCCGCTAATTACCCCATGGCTAAAGTTAAGAGGAGAGAGGGGCCACATTTCTGATCTAAAACCTTGGCCATAAACACAGAGTGCATGAAGGCATTTACCCTTAAAAAGTTTTTTTTTTTTCTTTAACTGCACTTTTCAGCTAGATACTGTGACTTTGAATATAACACAGTGAACTGAACTCAGTAAGCCCCTGACATTCTTCATCCTCCTGCTCTGACTGCATTCACTGAGCCTTCTGACAAATGAGTGAAAAAAATATTCATCTGATTGAGAGGAAGCTTTGCTATCTGTGTATTGTTAAGAGGTGAGAAAGCACATGGAATATTTTTTCTATAATGCAAATAAAATAAAGTATAAAACATTGCATAAATAGAGACACAGCTGTGATTTGCATGGTGTACCGTGCACTTGTTGGGTTTCTCTCCTGAATGGACCCTCATATGGATAAGAAGCTTGTATCGGGCATTGAAGGGCTTGAAGTTGCGTGGGCAGCCCACCCAGTAGCATGTGAAATCCTCAGCCTTCCGCTGGTCCACATGTAGCTTTTCTATGTGCCTTACCAGCTCCTCCTTTTGGTCATAGACTGCACTGCAGTCCAACCACCTGCAGCAGTGGGCACCATAGTCCTCCAGCTCTCCTTCTTCTTCCTCCAACATTGGAACCTGGGGTAAAAAGCTCATCCCATGCCTTGGAGGAGCCATGGGGGCCTGTGTGAGAGGGTCCTGATATGAGGGCTTTATTTTGCAGTGACGCCTGGAGAGGTGAAAGTGCTGGTGGGAGTGGTAGGGCGGTGGAGGCCCCTGCGGAGTAGCAGCTTCATGGACTGTGGTCAGCAGAGCCGGCTCTAACTGTAAAGGTGGCAGCAGGTTGTTGGTGGTTTGACTGCAGCTCTCTGAAGTGTTCTCCAGCGCCCCTCCTTCCTCTGGGAGGCACTGCTGCTCCACAACCATGTTAGCCATCTGGCTCTCCAGACCCCCTCCCTCTTCAAGCATCTGCATACGGCCACACTCCGTCTGTGGGGCCATAGCCTTCGAAGAGCCTGCCATGCTGTAGGGATGGACCTGGGGGATACAGCGGCCTCTCACACCCAGGAAATGACCATAACCCTCAGACTGGACAGGGGATAGTGTGGTGTGGGAGGCTGGAGAGCTGCGCGAACCATTGATGTAAGCCACAAGTGAGGTAGGCGAGGTGCGTATGATGGAGTTGAAATCAGTACCCATGACATCTGACAAAGGCGACATGGAGAGAGCTCTCTTCTTAGCACGAGATGGTCTGGGGCTTCCAGTATCACCTGCAAAGAGGTATGAAGGCAGGGAGGCAGAGGTGCTCGTGCCACCTGATATCGTCGTGCCGGACATGGCCGTGCCTGATGAAATGCTGAGCTGCTCGCCTCCCTCGCTCGCCTGGGTGGAGCACTGAGGTAGTCCCAGTGGAGGAAGCACACGGTAGCCATATGGCCAGTCATGTCTTCCACTAAACATTGACTGTGTTTCAAACAGACTGAGGGTGGTGGATGCCAGGGATTCTCGGGACAGTAAGGACCTGAAACACATTGTTGTTAACCACTTTAGTAACACTCTAAAGGTTTTAGTGAGCTCATCATCACACACTGTTATTGATATTGCCCACCTGGCATCAGTGTGGGGAATCGTTACACTATGTAAATGTGATGGAGGATGAGGCGCTGCAGGCCCTACAGGGTATGGTTGGCCTGTGACAATAGTCATGGGACTACTGATCACCGTCAGGTTTGCAGCAGCGGGCTGGCCGAATACTTCCATGGCGGGCCCAGATGCAGGGCAACCTGCTGGACACAAGCCCAAAATTCAATAAACAGAATGCATGTAGTTTGCAGCAGAGTAACACAGTGTTAACATAATATTACACAACTATGTGCAAAAGGCATTAAACTCAAATTAAAATAAATGCATCAGATTTTTGTGCTTTAATAGAGGTTTACGATAGATTGTGGAATTCCCCTCACCAACCTGAGCAGGCCAGAGACAATTTCTGCTCTGTTAATCACTAATAAGCTTTCCACCTCCTTCCACTTTTCCTCAGTAGAAAATTTAAGGACAAGCTTTATGCTTGGTTAATTATCATTAAATAAGAGAACAAGAGCTGTAGCAAGAAGACAGTGAGTTGTGAACAGCACATTGGGAATGAGAATTCTGACAATAACATGCCTCTTGTCAGGCTTATGATTTTCTGGTATATGTGTCGTGATTTCTGTGATGAAATCTAGACAGTGTGTGTGTTGAGCTTGATGTTACATCTTGAATACTGCAATATTAAAATACTGTCCTGAAAAGTAAAAGTTGGATTTTGCTCACACACCCGTGCTGATTAGATATTTTTCAGCCTTTGATGACTTTTGTTTTTACCTTTGAAGCTGTTGTCAGAGGAGCTGAGTCCTGTCTGAATGGTAGTTGTCACTGTTGTGGTTGGAGGATGATGAGCAGGCACTTGCTGTTGTTGGGGTGCAGTCGGCATGTTTAACTGTTTCCCAGTGGTCAACACCTGCCTGCGGAGGCTCAGGGTTGGCAGAACAACATGGCTTCCGCTCTGTTTCCCAGAGGCTAGGGAGTGAATGGCTCCTTTTTTCACTTTCTCCATTCCTGAGGAAGGACTGAGATTGGACCGTTGGCGAGGGGACAGGGGAATCCTGATGGACTTGGGCTGGTGTCCTCTGATCATGCTCAGTGACGGGGACACATTGCATGGGGACACCAGGAGCTGACAACCTTTTCCACTCATGGCTGAAACCGATTCCTCGGAAGTTCTGTGCTCATGAGGAAGTCGGTTCAAGTAGTTGCAATTCATAAAATTCAGTTTACTCAGGAACTGGTAGTATGCAGCTCATACCTAGGCGATTATTCAAACACAAGAAAACAAACATATACAGTCCACACATAAAGACCGGCTGAATTAAAACAGCAAAGATACTATTAAAACAATAATGCACAAGTGTTTATACTTTGAACCTCAAACATTTGGAGAACCACTCAACCATAAACAACTTTACTGTGCATTGTGTTTAAACAAGATTATTTCAGGCTTACAAATGTACAAATGAATATGAGCCAACATAAAGACTATAAATAGACAAAGAAAATAGATAAATATATTTTATTAAAATGTCATTATGATAACTGAGTTAACATGTTTTGTAATAAACATGATAAGAAAAAACATGAAGGCGACTTCTTAAAACATAATTTCGTACTATTAAATATGTTTTCACTGTTGTTCAAAAAGTTCCTACAAGAGCACTATCTTATAGTCAAAATATATGACCTTTGCAGTCAAGTTTTTCATCTCACTGCTATTGTCGACGGCGCGTTCACTTACCTATTGTTGTAGTCGCAAACACTTCTCCAAAAGTGACATGTCGGGCAGAATGGCTGCTTCACTCCGCCGAGCTGTGAATGCAATTTGGATAACACCGGGAGATCAACTGTCGCGTTTCTCTCAGGGTTTGTGATGGGTGTTCACTGAGCAGAGAAGTCAAGCCTCAGAGGAATCTTTCAGTTTGAACCGCGGCGTCCCCCTCACTACTCTGTTTCCAGGAACTTCTTTTCTTCCCCTGATGTGATTACCCTTTTGCCCTTGACACGGCGTTATGTGGACGACGTCATTTCAAACTGAGTGCACCTTAACAGTAAATAATTAAAGTTTTTTTTTTCTCTTTTTTTAGTTACAGGTTTGTTAGTTACTCCTACTGATGCCTATCATGTGTTTGCACGCGCGCATTAGAGGCAGTTTCAGGTGAGCGCGTGCTCCGTCATACTACCATCAAAAACTAAATTTTCAAGCTTAGTTGCACATTAATAGCGACAAATGTTACTTTCAAACGAGTTGTTAATTTAGATTCCCTTGACATTTACGCCCTTTATACTTGAAATAACCTTTCTCTCATAGTTTAAAAAAGTTCTCACTAACAGAATAATTTAAATATTTAATATTTAATTAATTAATTGATAATGATAATTATAATGATTAATAATAATACCATAACAAAGAAAAACATCAGTTCTGTGCTGCTTGGTGAAAGAGTTTTGGGTATAAAACAACAGATGTCACCAACAGTATATCATATTATAATAGCCTTATAATAGCTAAAGTACATGGAGTGAATGAATGTCAACCTTCTGCCCCACAGTGATTTAGCTTTAACTAAAATTTACACATGTTCAGTGTTTTTTGATTCATGGTATTGATTAAATGTTTTTCTTCTCAGTAAAACTGACATTGTAAAAATTGTTTGAATTCTGTTCTGAAAAGAAAGTAGAAGAAAAATGCCATTCAAAATCTTTTCAGTGCAGTTATTGCAGCTCATATCATACCAGTCCAAATCCAAAATTGCAGACACTGCTTAACTGTTTTTGACAGTTTCTGCAAAAACATGACACGTTGGTTTGATACAGTTTTTACTGTGCAAATTCTGTCTATTCTTTATGCCACTGGGCTTTTCTATCAATTCACAATCTGACCCTTTCATATTTCCTGCTAACCCCCCCCACCCCCCAGCCCCACCCCCACCACCACCACCACCTCCTAACGTCGGGCACTTTTCTCCTGGCTGCTGGAGTGTTTGCACTGTGGATCCTGCTCCAGGTTGGCATGGAAACCAGCATGTTTATAAGAGGAGGGAAGGTAGCTGTTCCTTGGGAACATACATGGAGGAGGGGCTGTGCTCCACAATCTGTGATAATGACGCAATGAAAACTTATGTACATAGGCTATGTCGACTACTGTGTCTTGAGTGGTGGAGTACTAATTGGATTCTGCAGTCAAGCTTCTTACTGTATTATCTAAAATATGCATCAGTCAGGATGCTCTGTCTCTCTCTGCTTTGTTTTTAAATAAAAAATATGCCTGTCATATTATTTGCTAAATCAAAGTTTTTTTTTTTATTAAAACCTTTGTAACAGGAAAACTGATATTAAATATCGAATATTAAGTACTAGTGACCTCTTGTGGTTTTAGAGAGGTAACATTTAATTACAACACTCCCAGTCTGTAAAAGCAAGTTTGCGGGCCTTCATTTAGGGAGTGTTTTCAGTCCCTTCAGCTCATCACAATATTACCTTTCACTCTCATATTCCTCATCTGATGTCTTTAAAAACACCTCATTATCGTCTTTTCAAAAACAGTGATGTACCCCAGACCAGAAGACTTTTCTTCACCCATCTGTTTGTGTGTGTGAAATGTTCCCTCTTTTGCCAGCAGGGGATACTATTAGTACACCAATGGGGTGGTTGCAATCTGCCTAATAGAGTAGGGGCACAAATTTTCAGGTACAGAAAAAGAATAAGAAAAATTGGCCTCTAAAGATGTAAGAAAGGACAAAGAGTGATGCTTGTGAAATAGAAAAAAAAAGAAAAAAAAGATCTTGCTTGCTTCAAGCAGCGATCCCCTGGCCCCTCTGCGGCCATTTGGCATCTCCTTCCCTCGAATAAGTGAGTCACGGCGTGTTTCCAAATGTCAGAGTCTAACAGGATGGTAAAGCGTCTGAGCTCGAGGCAGAACAACAACACCACTTGCTCTTCTTCTTCTTCTGAGCGACAAACACTGACACTTGCGGCAGTGCTTTTCCGTATGTGCTCACATTTACACTATCCAAACCCCTTGGTCAAACATGTCATGTCATTGTTTTCTCTGCCTCCTATAAACAGAAGCACAGTATGTTTCAAACAAAGGATTTTACAGGAGGTATAATAGGGTGCATCAGAGCGGGAAAGAAGACCAGATGACATATAAGTGTTGACCATTTGTGTAGAGCTCCATTTGTAGCAGAATTAATGCTCTAATAGACTCTCCACCACTTACAGAATCCATTTCCCCTCTCTTGATGACAGCATCAGCACTACTGGAAGTAGAAAAGCATTCATTCTGGTGTCAAGATGAGAAATCATGGGTAATTTCTCTGTAAGTTATATTACAATAGTCACTTAAAGTAATGCACACCCCAGTGGACCTGTGATTAATTAATCTACTTTTGATTTGCTAATGACAGTTCAAGTCAAATACAAGGTTAGTCAAGGCTGAGTCAGTCCTTTTAACTGCAGCTGTAGAGACAACTGTAGTCAGTGTAAGAGATATCAATTTATTGGTATCATCCCTCATTATAACGGCTCCTATTAGCCAACGGCACCTCACATACTCACTCTCAGCAGATTAGTAGATAAATACAGTGTTACACACGCCCATATCCGAGATTGCATTAATAGTTTCCCATAAACATTAAAATCACTCATGTTGTTTTGTAGCCAACAGTGTTAAATTAATGTTTTGTAAAGATGTCCGAACTAAAAGGGGCTATAAATAGTGCGCTCATAGAGATGCAGCATTAACCACTGTACATGAAGTACAGTAGAGAGAAAGGACCCATCCATCCATCTCCTCCTCTGCTCCTCTACTGTCACTACCAAAACCCAGATGAAGATGAGTGTGAGAGAAATGGGCTTCTGAGTGTCTTCCATCTCCATCCATCAATCTTAGTCGACTTCTCTAATAACCTTTACAGAGAAGTGATGTCTGCTGGAAAAAGAAAAAGAAAGGACAGTAGGGTACACAGGCGCCCATGTCTTCTCCATCAGGCTCTGTCTTTTTCTCTTTCCCGCTGTGTTTTCCAGCAGGATGACTCTAATAAAAGTTTGCTGACACAACAGCCCCCCCGTGTTGAGAGCTGCCGTTAGGCCACAGGCTGGTTTTTAATTTGAGCGCACATTCGGGGTGAAGCCTAAGGGCGTGGGTGCTGTAAGCTCCCTCTTTCCTTTTTGGATATTATTAACACTGCGGCTCTGGAATCACATCTAGGAGGATGATGAGGCTTGAGCGCTGGAGCACAATCACAGGACTCACTCCGAGTCTTGCCAAATCGACAGAAACATTTCCCAAGACTTCAATATAAACACAAAGAGTGAAAAGAAGCTTGGACAACAAAAGATGTGGATCAAGAAGTGAAAGGAAATTTAATTCAAGTAACTTAAATCCAATTAAATCTGGGTTGCTCAACCATGACATGATGTAGCTCGGTGACAAAACAAGGCAATAATAATGACCCAGCTTGGTATAATGTTTGCGTATAAAACATTTCCGCACAGGGGCTGGAACCTCTTCACATGGCCACATGAGAACTGAAGTTTTCAGGGTTGACACATCTGTTATTTGTTCTTGAACATGAAAATACAGATTAACCCTTTGACTTGTGAATGCACCTTATAATTCCTTATAACAAGTTTTATATTTTGTCAAATAGTGTGTGACTGTGTTAGTTTATGTTAGTTTAACTAGATTTTTATATGGCTCGCTTAGGGTGAATTTCTTCCACATTTGTAGTTATCATACTTGTGTGTGTATGTGTGTGTGTGTGAGCACTTTGATCAGAATGGTATAGCTTCAGAAAGCCTGTTTGAATTTCTTGGTGCCAGTGTGGTGGTGAGGGCTATCAGAGCACGTAAAACAACCTCGAAGGTCCAGACATTGGAGGGCGTGTCATTAGACCCCTGCCTGAAACCCCCCCTGGTAAGATCCTCCCAACATCAGTCTTCATTAAAAAGGTTGCTCTCTGAGCAGATGGTCATTAACAGCACCCCCTCACTCTACAGCCCTGACACCCTCTATGCACTAGGACACTACCTAGAGGACACCCACTGTCCCTCAGGAATCCCAGAAAACCTCACCACAGAAGAAGAAGCGGTGCCTGACAAGGCCTCCTGGTAATGATCACTCTGGGGTCTCAATAAATCTCTTTTTTGAAAATTTTCAAAATAACAGCATGAAGTATGGAGATGGCTCCTGTAGCAGAATAATCAATATGTCAAACCCTGTGGCACAGGACTGAGGTGGTCAAAGTGACACAACTGATACAAATGGCCCCAGAAAGTGAGTAATATCATCAGCGCTGTCCTGCTCTGTTTCCTTTTCCAGTTAAGTGTTTTTGTCCCTGTGTCTTTTATGTGACTGGCATAACAATGTCGTCTGAGACTGCGCTGTTGTTCAGACAGATGTGGCGGGGGATACAGGTCAGGTTTTGGGGAAGGACGGAGTTGATAAACAGAGAATGTCCCTTAGGTCATGTTGCTTCACATCACAGCAAGACTTTGAGAGGGAATAACCAATCAAATGTTACAACACAGCATCTGAAAGCTCATCTCTTTGTCTAGTCGCTAAATCATAAGAATGATTACACAACACAAATTTACAGTCAAACCCCAGTGAAACAGACAGAGAGGCCGCAGATTTGATTCGGAGGTTGTCAGAGGTGATTTGTGAAGTTGTAACTCTTGGGTCCAATATGAGCAGTGTCAATGTTATCTACATTTTAGTCGAGATGGCCTCATCATCAGTATCTCCAGCGGCAGCCACCATGGATCCCAATTACCGCAGTAATCACTCCCTAGCCGAGAGCACGGTTTCAGACAGGGTAAAGTATTATCCATCTTCATCATATTCATTATCAGGCAGCAGACGTAGGTGTCCTGGCCTCCCACTGCTCCGCACCATTAGTGACTGATAGACAGTGGGACTATAGCGTCT